GGGGGAAGCAGGAGGTCAGTATGAGTAGCTGTGTGTTTGGGAAGGAATCAGGATGGGGAGTGAGGGGTGGAAATATCACATCAGTTATGCCCTTGAAGCAGTGTCCCCAGTGTAAGGATCCAGGAATAAGATTATTGTTTCGCCAGGATTATCTAGGAGTTTCCTCAATCTGACTCTTCAGTAGAATTTCTGGGAAGTTTGAAAAAATTATGATCCTGTGACGTAGGTACTTTTGAACTGTGGTGTTGGAGAAGACCCTTGAGAATCTCTTGGACTGCAAGGAGGTCCAACCAGTCCATCCTAAAGGAAATCAGTCCTGAATATTCATTGGAAGGACTGATGCTGAAGCTGAAGCTCCAATATTTTGGCCACCTGATGCGAAGAACTGACTCATTGGAAAAGTCTCTGATGCTGGGAAAGATTGAAGGTGGGAGGAGAAGGGGATGACAGAGGATGAGATGGTTGCATGGCATCTCCCACACAGTGGACATGAGTTTGAGTAAGCTCTGGGAGTTGGTGATGGACAGGGAGGACTGGCGTGCTGCAGTCCATGGGGTGGCAAATAGTCGGACACGACTGAGCAGCTGAATTGAACTGACCTAGGGATCTAGGCTTGTCATTATTTTAAGAGCTTCTAGAACATTTTAAGAGCTGCCTGTGACATTAACAGGCAGCTAAAGATGGGAACCACTGACATAGAGGAAACATCCAGTGTACCACCATCACTTCAGTAACCTGAGTTCGCCTGACTGGGGCTCCTCCCGGCAAACTGCTGTCAGGCAACCTTGTCTAAGAGAGACGGTCTGCTTGGTTCTCTGGACATGATTTGCCAACTCCCTTAAAAGTCTCATTCCTTTTATGTCCCTTGGACTCGACAGTGCAAAATATGCTCTGTAGCATGACTCTAGGCATGCTTTGAGTGTAATCTTGGAGTCCCTCACTTCCTTGTCTAGTGGGTAATCATTCTCCAGCCAGTTCTGGGGTTTCCTTCTGTCCACACCGACTGCCCGGACAACCCTTTCCTTTCTCCTGTGGTGCTCTGGCTTTTGTTCCTCCTGTGGTGCTTCTGACCCCTTTCCTTCACTTCCAAATCCCACCTGTCCTTCCAGATCACCCTCAGTGCTGCTGTTGCTTGAAGGCATCTCAGCATCACTCTGCAGCCAGAGGCACTCTCTCCCTTTTGAAATGTTCCATTCTCCCTCGGCACTCCATTTTATTGTGATTCTTAAAGCACTCCACACATTCTCTGTTGTGTCTTATTCTTTGGTAGAAAGCTTTTCTGCCCTTCCAGACTTTGAAGTTCCTGATTATGGGATTTGTGTCTTGTGTATTCTTATATAGCACACAGTATTTGGCACATGGCATTATAGGTGCAAGCGTGCATCACTTATTTGTTGGATAGGTGGTAAGGGAGAATCCAGGAGATTGATTGTAACAAACTCTCATGAAAGTCACTCTAAACTTCTAAACTTCCTGGCTAAGTAGATATTAAATCAGCTTGTGGCAGGATGATTGGACAAAGACGCCAGTATTATTAAGGTTTTAGTTCAGTCACTCCATTGTGTTCGACTCTTGGTAACCCCATGGACTGCAGCACACCAGGCCTCCCTGTCCATCATCAACTCTCAGAGTTTACTCAAACTCATGACCATCAAGTCAGTGATGCCATTCAACCATGTTATCCTATGTCGTCCCCTTCTCCTCCGGCCCTCAGTCCCTCCCAGCATCAGGGTCTTTTCTAGTGAGTCAGTTCTTCGCATCAGGTGGCCAAAGTATTAGAGTTTCAGCTTCAACATCAGTCCTTCCAATTAATATTCAGGATTGATCTCCTTTAGGATGTACTGGTTGGACTTTCTTGCAGTCCAAAAGACTCTCAAGGGTCTTCTCCAACACCACAGTTCAAAAGCATCAATTCTCCAGTGCTCAGCGTTCTTTATAGTCCAATTCTAACATTCATACCTGACTACTGGAAAAACTGTAGCTTTGACTAGACAGAACTTTGTTAGCAAAGTAATGTCTCTGCTTTTTAATATGCTAAGTTGGTCGTAACTTTTCTTCCAACGAACAAGCGTCTTTTAATTTCACGGCTGCAGTCAACATCTGCAGTGATTTTGGAGTCCAAAAAAATAAAGTCAGCCATGGTTTCCACTGTTTCCCCATCTATTTGCCACGAAGTGATGGGACTGGATGCCATGATCTTAGTTTTCGGAATGTTGAGCTTTAAGCCAACTTTTTCACTCTCTCTTTCACTTTCATCAAGAGGCTCTTTAGTTCTTCTTCACTTTCTGCCATAAGTGTTTCATCATCTGCATATCTGAGGTTATTGATATTTCTCCCAGCAATCTTGATTCCAGCTTGTGCTTCTTCCAGCCCAGCATTTCTCATGATGTACTCTGCATATAAGTTAAATAAGCAGGGTGACAGTATATAGCCTTGATGTACTCCTTTCCCAATTTGGAACCAGTTCATTGTTCCATGTCCAGTTATAACTGTTGCTTCTGACCTGCATACAGATTTCTCAGGAGGCAGGTATGGTGGTCTGGTATTCCCATCTCTTGAAGAATTTTCCACAGTCTGTTGTGATCCACAGAGTCAAAGGCTTTGGTGTAGTCAATAAAGCAGAAGTAAGTAGATGTTTTTCTGGAACTCTCTTGCTTTTTCTATGATCCAGAGGATATTGGCAATTTGATCTCTGGTTCCTCTGCCTTTTCTAAATCCAGCTTGAACATCTGGAAGTTCATGGTTCATGTACTGTTGAAGCCTAGCTTGGAGAATTTGAGCATTACTTTGCTAGTGTGTGGGATGAGTGCAGTTGTGTGGTAGTTTGAACATTCTTTGGCATTGCCTTTCTTAGGGATTGTAATGAAAACTGACCTTTTCCAGTCCTGTGGCCACTGCTGAGTTTTTCAAATTTGCTGGCATATTGAGTGTGGCACTGTCATGGCATCATCTTTTAGGATTTGAAATAGCTCAGCTGGAATTCCATTCCCTCCACCAGCTTTGTTCATAGTGATGCTTCCTAAGGCCCACTTGACTTCACATTCCCAGTCTTGTTTTTGCTGACTGTATAGAGCTTCCCCATCCATTAACAGAAAATTGGATTGAAGATTTAGTGAGCATGGCCCCACCCATAAGAACAAGACCCAGTTTCCCCTCAGTCAGTCTCTCCCATCAGGAAGGTTCCATAAACCTCTTATCCTTCTCCATCAGAGGGCAGACAGACTGAAAACCACAATCACAGAAAACTAACCAATCTGACCACATGGACCACAGCCTTGTCTAACTCAGTGAAACTATGAGCCATGATGTGTAGGGCCACCTAAGATGGATGAATCATGGTGGAGAGTTCTGACAAAACGTGGTCCACTGGAGAAGGGAATGGCAAACCACTTGAGTATTCTTGCCTTGAGAACCCCATTTACAGTATGAAAAGGCAAAAAGATAGGACACTGAAAGATGAACTCCCCAGGTTGGTAGGTGCCCAATATGCTACTGGAGATTGGTAGAGAAATAACTCCAGAAAGATTGAAGAGATGGAGCCAAAGCGAAAACAACATCCAGTTGTGAATGTGACTGGTGATGAAAGTAAGGTCCGATGCTGTAAAGAGCAATATTCCATTGGAACTTGGAATGTTAGGTCCATGAATCAAGATAAATTGGAAGTGGTCAAACAGGAGGTGGCAAGAGTGAACACTGACATTTTAGGAATCAGTGAACTAAAACAGACTGGAATGGGTGAATTTAACTCAGATGACCATTATATCTACTACTGTGGGCAGGAATCCCTTAGAAGAAATGGAGTAGCCCTCATAGTGAACAAAAGAGTCTGAAATGCAGCACTGGGATGCAATCATAAAAATGACAGAATGAGCTCTGTTCATGTCCAAGGCAAACCATTCAATATCACAATAATCCAAGTCCATGCCCCAATCAGTAACACTGAAGAAGCTGAAGTTGAGCAGTTCTACGAAGACCTACAAGACCTTCTAGAACTAACACCCAAAAAAGATGTCCTTTTCATTATAGGGGGCTGGAATGCAAAAGTAGGAAGTAAAGAGATACCTGGAGCAACAGGCAGATTTGGCCTTGGAGTACCAAACAAAGCAGGTCAAAGGCTAACAGAGTTTTGCCAAGAAAATAGTGAACACCCTCTTCCAGCAACACAGGAGACGACTCTACACATGGACATCACCAGATAATCAATACTGAAATCAGATTGATTATATTATGAAGGCTTACTGTTGCAAATACTTGCCTTCTCCCTCCCCCTTGCTACTGAGCATATATGTCCGTCCTTTACTTCCTGTGTTTTAAGAACTCTCTGCTTTGTCAGCTTAGTGGGGAGCAGGGCCTTTCTCCCACCACGCAGCAGTAAGGCCAGATTCCTGCCTTGTGTATCTCCCTGCCTGGTGCTGACACCTCACTTTTGCTGAAACAACAAAAAGTTGCAGGGTGGTAGAGACCTCCTCCTTTGATGACTGTATAGGTGTCAGCATCTGATCTCTGCACATTGGGGTGGCTTCCTCTAAGGTCTAGTGTGGGCGGGGAGTGGTCAACTAATCACATATTTGTCTGATACAGTTCTAGTTGCCTATCTTTGCTTGTTTTATGAGCCTGGTTTCCAAAATGACCCGTCAACTCTGTGATCCATTTAAGGATCTTCAGCCAGAGCTTGTTCTTGCTTTCAATGGAGGATCCTGACTGACAGAGTTAATTTAAACTTTGAAAGTTAAATGATGCTTTTTAGTAGATGTTAATAATTGTTGCTAACCATAAACTTCTTTCTTCTTGTGACTCATTAAATAATTGTTGCTAACCATAAACTTCTTTCTTCTTGTGACTCATTAACATAGGAAAGATAATTTTACTTTCAGGGAAAGACCTAATATTTTTTTAAGTTTGTATCTATATCTGTTAATTCTGGGTGGATGCATTCTGAAATCATGCTCTCTCGATAATATTTTAGTGATTTTTTTTCTTTTGTACATTTGTGCCTCTAGCCATTTCAAGCAAGATGATGTCTCCATCCATCAAATGGCCATTTTCAACCAGGCCCTTACTGCTGTTGTCATTGTTGATTCTCTTAACGGTGGCAACTCCATCCTCATGTCAGAGCAGGGAACCGACATCTTCTTCTAGCAACGGGGCACCGTTTCCTTGGAATAAAATGCGACTTCCAGAGCACATCATCCCAGCTCACTACGATCTCATGATTCATGCAAACCTCACCGCTCTGACTTTCGGGGGAACCACACAGATAGAAATCACAGCCAGCAAGCCCACCAGTACCATCATCCTGCACAGTCACCACCTGCAAATATCCAAGGCCGCCCTGAGGAAGGGAGGTGGCCAGAGGCAGGCTGAAGAGCCGCTGAGAGTCCTGGAAAACCCACCTCAGGAGCAAATTGCGCTTCTGGCTTCCAAGCCGCTGGTTGTCGGCCACCCATATACCATTGTCATCGACTACGCTGGCAATCTTTCTGAGAGTTTCCATGGATTTTATAAAAGTACCTACAGAACCAAGGAAGGGGAAGTGAGGTAATTTTTGTCTTTTTTTTTTTTTTTAAGATTCAAGTGCTACCCACCTAAATTATTTTGTTATTTAAATAAATAAAACAAATAAAATTTAAATAAAATAAAAATAATTTAAATAAATTATTAAATAAATTATTTATTAAATTATTATTTATTTAAGTCATTATTTCAGGTGGCTTGTCCTTTAAAACTCCCTTGATGGTTGAATTCTCTCTTTGGTTTTGCTTTGTATGTCTTTGCATATTTAAAAATGGCTTATAGTCTTTTCCTTTTTTTTTTTTAACCTCATTTTTCATTCTGTTTGAACCAATTTTCTTTCCTCCAGGTCTATCAGAGTAAATACCTATTTGTTTATTTAATTAGACTACTGGGATAGAATAAATATTTTAAATTCTCTTGGCCTAGGGACCAGTTTCCAAGGGCTGCTTTAACAAAGTACATAAACTGCATGACTTAAAACAGTAGAAATTTAATATCTCACAGTTCTGGAGGCTAGAAGTCCGAGATCAAGGTGTCAGGAGGCCTGCGCTCTCTAGGTCTCTGAATAGCCTCGTCCTTTGCCTCTTCCTAGCTTGTGATGCCATCAATCTTTGACATTCCTTGACCTGCAGCTACATCAGTCTGGTCTCTGCCTGCCTGTCACATGGTCATTCTCCAAATTTCCCTCTTCTTTTAAGGACACCAGTTATATTGGACTAGGGCTTTACCTGATGGCCTTATCTGAACTTGGCTACATCTGTAAAGACCCTATTTCTAAATAAAGTCTCACTGATATTAGGTAATAAGACTTCAAAATATCTTTTGGAAAGACTCAGTTCAACCTGTAACAGCCTATTAGAGGAAATATTTTTGTCTCAGTTAAAACCTTTTTAGGGATCCTCTCCTGCCTGGTTTTAGTTCTGTTTTTAAAAACACAATATATTTTTGGGAGATTTTATGCTAAATTTTAAAATCAAATTTTGTTAGTAGCTTATACTTACTTCTCTGATTCCATATTATTTTTTGAGGTTAAAAAAGTCAAATGCTACAGAAAAGAATTTTTGAAAAGATAAAATGTATCCCCATTATAACCCCTAGAGATAACTACTGCTTCTGTTTTAGGGGAACATTCTTTAGACTCTTTTCTGGATATACATACATGTCATTTAATGTAAATGGAACTATGCTGTGTTTTATGTTTCACGAGGGAGCTTTTTTATTAAAAATATAAGTTGACATGTATTTTACATGATGACTGTCACTTTACATCATTTTAACAACTTTATTAAAATGCATGTTTCTGTGTTCATTTATTTAACTAATCCGCCTATGGATGGAAATTAGGTTATTTCCAACTTTTTAGCATTAGCAATACTTGGACAAGCAATACTTCTAAATAATTTCTTTAGAATAAATGCCTAAAAGTAAAATTGCTAAGTCAGAGGGTCAACAAACTTTTGATATGCCTTGCCATATTTCTCACTAATACTGTGTAGTGGCAATCCTTTTAGAGCCAAAATTCCAACAGATTTCCCCCTTTAATTTGTTACATTGATTATTAATGAAGCTGTGCAGCTTTTGATGTGTTTATTGACTATTTGTAGGTTCTTCTTTTGTGAGTTGCCTGTTTATAACCTCTGCCTGCTATTCAGCTTGGTTGCTGGGTGAATTCTTACTTATTTTCAAGAGCTCGTTATTTGTTCAGGTTATATTAACACTTTGTTAAATACCTTTTGATCAATTTTCCCTGTTCTTTTTATTTGTCTTTTAGTTTATGATGACTTTTGTCATATAAGAGATTTTTTGGTAGTGAGATTCATCAGGATTGTGATAAATTTAGGAATTAAGACCTGATCATACACCTAACTTACAGTCCCTGGTGCTTCATGCTCCGTTTTTATTTCCCTTGCCGGAACTTTAGGGTACTTGCATCAACACAGTTTGAACCGACTGCAGCCAGAATGGCGTTTCCCTGCTTTGATGAACCTGCTTTCAAGGCGAGTTTTTTAATCAAGATCAGAAGGGAACCAAGACACCTCGCCATCTCCAATATGCCATTGGTGAGTCTAAATTGCATATCTACTGATGAGAAGTCCATTAATTCCCTGTGGTTTGTATCACCCCATTGACAGTTAACATTCAGGCTACCTGTATTGTTTGTTTTATTGCCTGACAGATAGCTAACTTTTTCTTTTTCACTTCCAACCTATGCTTTTGGTTCAAGCAGCAATTTATTTATGGTTAAAGAAAAAAAAATTGTCCCTAAAAGCATGCAAAATTTAGGTAAGAGTGACACTGCAGGTCATCCATGTCAACAAGAGAGAAACTGTATAGGAAATTCAGGTCAGGTTCAAGTGAGAGTACCTTTCATAAAGCACTTTTCTTATATGGTCTTTTAGAAGGACTTTTAAAGGAAATGCTCTATCAAATAAGGTCATATTCCTATGATTTAGTTATTTCCTATAATTTCTGTATACTGTATTACTAATATTAGCTATACAATTTATATTAAAAATAACTGGCATGAAGTTGAGCAGATGGAAAATAAAAAAGTAATCTTTTAAGAATATAATGGTCGTGAAGGTAGCTACCTCAAGTTGCCTATAAAGAAGTCATTATTTTCCAGTTCCAGAGCAGATGTGGACAGTGTTCCCTCTGAGTTTTATTTTTTTATTCTACTTTTTTGTTTTCCATTATGGTTTATTACAGGATATTGAATATAGTTCCCTGTACTATAAAATAGGACCTTGTTGTTTATTCCAAATATAATAGTTTGCATCTGTTAGGCTGAAGCCCCTCTGATTTTTAAAAGCGGAAAGGAGAAGATGACCGTGCCAAATGAATAAAATTACTCAGTGAGGTCCATTACCTTATGATTCTGGTAGCACTGGAAAAACAGAAGCTGAGCTGTCTTACAGAAGCCCAGCCATTGATACATACCAACTGCTGAAGCTCATACATCCTTTGTTTAGAGAAGTTCACTGTGGATGAGACTCAGGCTAGAATAGGCTTTGCCCAGAGTCCGGAAGGGTGTCTTACTGCATCCCTGTGCTGGCCAGGGGAGGCAGGATCTTCACATGAAGGGACTCAGAGGGCCATGAACCAACCTCTAGTATTCCCCAACCTTTAGAACTCTATATTGCTCACCGAATCCCTCAAAGACCCCCTAAAAGAGATTCTGACATTCCGCACCGGAAGCCTGTCTAAAAGGCAGACTTTTGTGAATCCTTACCAGCCAAGAACTTTTGTCTCTTTCCCTAACACACTTGTATATAGAAAGATAAGAAACAGTTATGCCGTTTTCCTAATATAAATTTGAGATAGAGAAAATGCTTTTTCAAATTATAGTTCCCTCCCCGAATATTATGGTACTACTGGCTGGGGTGGGAGTGACTTCTCTAATTAGAGAATTACAGCTTAAGGAGAATAAAGGAACAGGGATGGTTTGGAGGTGAGGGACATACTGACCCACTAAACAAGACTGGTAGAGGTTTTATAGGTTTGCAGGGGGAAGGCCAAAGCCCAGAGGCTCCACAAAGATGCTAGAGTCCAAATCCATGAATGTCGGGGACCCTCTTGCTGAGGATCAGAAAATCTCTAGTGTAATCTTGCTCTTGGATGGGCCATCCCTCCTCTTGGCAGAAATCTTAACAGAGGTGCCTGACCTTAAGCTGCAGACATGGGGTTGAGGGGACGGACAGCGGGATCTCAAAAGGATCTTTTCGGAGGCTAGAGAAGAAAAATACACCTTTGGAGTTAATCACCCAAAATTGAATTCGTTTCATTAGCTTACTTTCCTAAAAATGAGCGCAACTTCAAGAACAGAAATTTTTGTCAGGGGTAAGCTGAAGACATTTAAAAAAGAAAGGTAATTTCGGGTCCTTCAAGAATAAACCTAGGTTGACTGTCGGAGTCAGGGTGTGAATGCCCAAAGGCTGACCAGCAGGCAACCATAGCTTGTGGCTGGTGGGTGTCATAAAGGACAAGGGTACAGAAATAGAGGTGGAAATTGGATTACAGGAAAAATGCATCGTTAATGTGGATGTTCTCAGACTAGTTTCGACTGGTCTTTCCTCCAAGATCCTGCACACTGCTTTCTGTTGGCTGAGGTAGTAGGCTTTCTTCTTGGGAAGCTGACCTCTTAGGCTATCTGTGCGGCCCCAACCCCACTCTGCAAGGCTGTTCCCTGATTACACTGCAAAACCTGACTTCAGTGAAGCAGATCAGAGTCTGAAGGAGACTTTGCAGGGTCAGGCCCAGGCATGGGTTTCTTTGAATTGTTTAAGAAACTAGAAGCTCTTTTAGGTTATCCATGGTGACACGTGCACCCAGTTAGACACTGCATTTCCAGATTATTCTCGCACCTTGTATTTTGTGGGCTACATCTTGGCAAAATCAGCAGTCTCAGTTTTGCTTTTTCCCAGCCACATTACCAATCCTCATGTGCCAATATGAGTCAGTTTGTAATCGTTCAGCTTATTTAGAAGAGATTTAAGTGGTGACGGTTATGTAACTGTGAATATAATTTTAAAAAATCCACTGAATTGTATACTTTAAAACAGTGAATTTTATGGTATATGAATTATATCAGTAAAAAATGGAGAAGAATGGTTTGGCTTTCCTATCTAAATTACTTAAGAAAGAAATATCTTTTTTGAAAAGTCTTTATTGATTTTGTTACAATATTGCTCCCGTTTTATGTTTTGGTTCTTGGTTGTGAGACTTGTGGGATCTTACCTTCCCAACCAGGGATTAAACTCACATTCCCTGTACTGGAAGGCAGAGCCCCAACCACTGGTCCACGAGGGAAGTCTCTGAAAGAGATATTCTTAAATAACTATACACATGTCATGTCATATACTTTCAGTATGTCTGAGACTCAGGACTATTTCTCTTTATAAAATGTTGTCAGTGTCTTGGGTAGTTGGATTATTTGATGATCTCAGTTATTCTGATTTTAGGTTAAATCTGTGACTGTGGCTGGAGGACTCCTAGAAGACCACTTTGACGTCACCGTGAAGATGAGCACGTACCTGGTGGCTTTCATTGTTTCAGATTTTAAGTCTGTCAGCAAGATGACCAAGAGCGGAGTCAAGGTGAACCTATGATTGTCACATAGGGTGACCTGCTTGCCTGGTCTGCCTGGGACGGTGCTGGTTTTATAACTGGAAGTCCCGCATCCTGGAAACGCCCCTTGTTCTCAGACAAACCTGTTGGTGGGCCGTCCCGTTGTCACAGATGCTCGTGTTTACAGCGGGGTTCTACTAGCAGAACCACGTGGGGAGACATGGCCCGGCCTGGGTCACGGTGCTGGCTCCACCATTAACTGGCTTTCTGCTACCTTTGGAGATGAGCTTACATTCTGTACAATGTGTAAGTGGGGTTAGATCCTGCAGCAGTTTCTTCTTTTCTCTATAACTTTCTGCAGTTTGGAAGTGAATGTCACTGACTGTCCGAGCCGGGGATTTCTAGCCATGGGAAGGAAGTAAGAGAAGACAGCTTGGAGTATTAAATGGCTCTGGGGAGAGCATTTGGGCCAGGGAATACTGGAGTGTCAGGGGAAGAGGTCTTGTTTCAAGGAGTTCTTGCTGCTGGGTGGGTATCACTGTATAGTCAACAGCCTACACAACTGTACACTGCAGTTCTAAATGCAAATAAGATTTTCAAAGAGGAGGCAGGGGACATCTTATTTAAAATGACCTCATTTATTTGTGCTAGTTTTAACTGAGGCCTGGGATAGTTAGGGTTTCTCTCGTGAATTACCTTGTCTTCTGTAGGGCCTGAATAAGGCCCTGACTAAATGAGGATGGTCTTATCCTTGTAGAGATATCTCTGCTTACCTGGGGATTTGAAGTTCATGCTTGGGGCTTGGCTATAGGAAGCAATCTAAGTTCAGCAGTGAAATTAACAGCAAAAACACCCACTCACTAACTTGCCCACTTCAACGAGTCCTTTTTGAATGGTTATTTCTATGTGTCTTTCATACTGTGATTTTGTAATTCATAATAAGAAATATGTATTTGGTCTTCATCCTTGATTAAGCTCAGAGCCACTAAAACTCTTAGAATGTCCGATGTGTTGAGAACCATAAGTATCATCTCTTGTTTTGTTAATAAAAATTTCCTAGGTAACCTAACTAAGGCTGGTTGACTGGGAACCAACCATGTGATGGGAGAGTTGGGACTGGAGACTGAGTTTCATCACCAAGGGTCAATTATTTATGCCTGTGTTGTGAAAACTCCATGAAAACTCAAAGGGTGGCTCCTGGGAGCTTCCGGGTTGGTGAACCAGTGGAGGTGTAGGGAATGTGGTTTGGTAGGAGAGGCCATGGTCGTTACATTCCCTTTTTCCGTATCTCATCCTACGGCACCTCTCCCAGGGTGGCTGTTCATTCCTGAATTATGTTTGTTTATAATGGACTGTGAATCTTGTAGAGTAAAATGTTACTCTTGAGTTCTGTGAGCTGCTCTAGCAAATTAAACTCAAGAAGGGGGTTGGGAGCCTCCACCCAATTGCTGCTAAGTCAGAAGCATGGGTGATAACTTGCACTTTTGATTGGCATCTGAAATCAGGTTAGGGAGCAGGCTTGTAAGACCGAATCCTGTAGAATGATGTTCTCACACCAGGAGTGTCAGCATGGAACTGAATTGCGGGATACCCAGCTGGTGTTGGAATGTTCCTTGGAGGTGTGAGGGAACTGCCCCCTCTCACATATATCTACATTGGAATTGGGTCCCAGACCCCTTTTGTGTGCCAATAATTTTAGTCATTTTCTTTCTTTAACACATTAAACTCACCCTTTATATCGTGTCTAGATGTTATCATATATGAAGTCTTGTTCTGGTTCATATATGAAGGCTGGTCCTGTGATTTGTTGTTTCTGCTGGCACTCGTTCATCGTGTCTTGTTCCTTTATGCTGTGTACTGTGAATTGTGTCTGTGAGCTTTTCTTATCTGAGTTGAAGGCGAATTTTTCCAGAGAGAAGTTGTATTTTGCTCCTGTCAAGTGACCCGGAGACTTTGCAGCCTTGGGAATCACTTTACATTATTGGCTTCAGGTTTTTGGACCACCTGGTTTTATTGTGAGTTCAGCTGTTAGACGGCATGAAGTTTAGCTTTTAGCCATAAATTCTCTGAGGAGATTCTCTCACTATTCCTCATACATCACCAGGGTTTGAATAAGGCATTTTTCCCCCCTTACAGTTTCCTGGAGGAATTTGGTGATTCTAGTTTAGACTTCCAGTAAGGGCTTGGTCCTTTGGGATCTAGCTTTATGCAGGGGACATCTCCTACCCAGCTTGAGCAGGTTCTGGATTTTGTCTCCTTTCCCTGTTGAGCTCTCCAGTGCCATGAAGACCTCAGCTCAAGTCCATCTGTAGTGGGCTAGTGTCCTCAGGGCAAAAGCTGGCTGCAGTGACCTTTTGCTGACTTCCCAGGGTCCTGCTGTCACTTCAGTTTGGGAAGCTAAGTTGTCTTTACCTTTTCACTGTCTTGTGTAAACATTTAGGAAGACAGTTTTTTATTTGTTACCCATCATCTGTTGTTTTCAGTAGGGGCATTGATCGAGAACAATCAGCATTAATATAAGAAATAGCAGCCTGCAATTGTCATCTTTAATACTGGCAACCGTATCCCATACTAGGAAGCTGTTAATGTAAGTCTTCTAGAAAAGCCACGATGGAATTTGGATAACTCCTTGTGTCTTCCTCTCCAGGTTTCCGTATATGCTGTTCCAGACAAGATAAATCAGGCAGATTACGCACTGGATGCTGCGGTGACTCTTCTAGAATTTTATGAGGATTATTTTAGCATCCCATATCCATTACCCAAACAAGGTATAGATTTTGCACAGATGTTACAAACTGGCATTTAATGACCCCAGGAGTAGATTATATCTTCCTAACTGGCATCTTCCCCCATCAGCTCAGCACCCTCTCAAGTCATTAAAACCCCAGCAGGGTTTTGAGACATGTGGCATGGGGATACTTTCGCCTTCTGATTTTAAAGACAAACACGACTCTATCAGTGGGCAGATAGCAAAGGACAAAGGCTGCATTTTTTTCTGTGATTGGCACGCATTTGGTAGGAATGTTGAGTACTCACATTTTTTCAATGAATTCCTTGATACAACATAAGAAAATCTGCATTTTTTCTTTCTTACATGAGCTCTTCAAACTATTATGTGTTTGAGTTTTTAGGTGTGTGAAAGTCTTGGGCATCCTAGCTAGAGTGCATTATTGAGACAATTTTTAAGATTGTCCAGTCCCCAAACCCCTTGTCAGAGAATTAGAAATGAAGTCAGGAGGTCTGAAACCCAAGCATAACTTTGTCACGCAGCAGCAGAGTAACTCTGAATGAGCCACTGAGCCCTTTTACTTCACTGTGAGAGGTTCTTCAGTCCAGAATCCAAGATTCTGTGTGGGTCACTTACTTTTTCTTTGATCCCTGCATCCATCCATCCTGAGAGTTAGTGTGTTTGGACCATGTGTAGGTTAAGATTGATAAGATGTTTTTTGTTTCCTTCCCAAGATCTCGCCGCGATTCCTGACTTTCAGTCTGGTGCAATGGAAAACTGGGGGCTAACAACATACAGGGAATCTTCTCTACTGTTTGATGCTGAGAAGTCTTCCGCCTCAAGTAAGCTCGGCATCACGATGGTTGTGTCTCATGAACTAGCCCACCAGGTATATGAGCTCAATCACACTTTTCAAAAAAGTATAAACTATGTTTTTATTGCTCTTCTGGGACATAGGCTATTCATATTGACATATGAATTCTATGGATTCATTTTTACTTTTGTCTTTTTCTCCCAGAGGAAAATTTATGTCTTTAAAACATTAGGTACCATGTTTTTAAAATACATATTGAAAAGTTTTTCTTTTTACATTGAAAAAATATTAGCTTTATAAATATGTTAACATTCATATACTGACATTACACATGTAGAATATATTTCCTTCTGAATGTTTGACGTTTATGGCCGTGTAGATAATCCAGTTGCCATAGAAATCTATGAATAACCTGAGTAATATTTTCCTTTCAGTGGTTTGGGAACCTCGTCACTATGGAATGGTGGAATGATCTTTGGCTAAATGAGGGATTTGCCAAGTTTATGGAGTTCGTGTCAGTCAGCGTGACTCATCCAGAACTGAAAGTTGTAAGTTGTATTTACTTACTTTTTTAATATATTTTAGGTTAATCTGTTGCTGGAAAATATTATATTTACCAATGCTTGATTATGGAATTTATAGAAAGATTGATAATCTCCCTGGGAGTTTAAATATGAATCAGATTTCCAAAATGCTAGTGTACTTTAAAGATATTTCACAAAGACTTATTTCCAAACTCAGTTGCTTATTTCCAAATCTATGAGTTATGAAGTTAGTACTAAATTGTCCTCCCTGAATGTCAAAGAAATAGAAATAATGACAACTTGTCTGTTCTGTATCACTTTCCCACCTTCAGGCTGCTCACTGAAGAAGTATTAAGTACAGATTGATGTTATTTCAATAAGGTCCTACTTGCCAAATCAAATGAGTTTTAAGATAATTGTCCATTTGGTTGTATAAGAACCTAGACTCATGGGTCACAAACTTAATGCTTTGGAATCTCTACATGATGATTTCAAAAGTCATGTGTTTAACTTGTGAAAATCAAATGCAGTATGATTAAAAAGAAACGTTATGTAAAAACAATCCTTTACCATATTTTAATTTTCATTTGTACATATTCATATTTCCATTTTCATCTTCCTATATACACAACTTATATGTGAAAAGAAAGTGAAAGTGAAGTCGCTCAGTCGCATCTGCCTCTTTGTGACCCTGTGGACTGTAGCTTACCAGGCTCCTCCATCCATAGGATTTTCCAGGCAAGAGTACTGGAGTGGGTTGATTACAGTATAGTGGATCATAATAAGTGTTTTCCTGTTTCCATATAGTCTTTAAGAATAAAGATGATTATGTTTGCTTATTGTTTTATTCTGTAATATGCCCTAAGTAGATTATAGTTGGAATTTGCTCTCCATTGCTTTTTCTTTCACTACATGGTTAAAGCTAAATTTCTTTGCTTTAAAACCACTACAGTACTGTAAAGTAATTAGCCTTCAATTAAAATAAATTAATTAATTTACAAAAAAATAGTATAGATGAAGACTGGAGATACTGAAATCATTATATATTTTAGTTTCATATTTGGGTACTATTGGGCTGTAGGCATAATGTTTTTATTTTTAATAGGAATGTTCTTTATTCTAAGGTGATAAGTATTTAAACAAATGTTCAATATTGAACTAAAATCATTGTTTCCTGTCTGTTCCTTAGCAGATAATTCTATTTAATTTTGTAAATTCTTTAGATATATAATAGGTCACATCAGAAATTTGGAGTGTAAACCTATTATCCCACATCAAGCCAGCCTCATTTCATATTTTTTGATCTAAATGTGAATCATTGGTGATGTTGTCTTTCTATCTTAATAGGAAGATTATTTCTTTGGTAAGTGTTTCAATGCAATGGAAGTGGATGCATTAAACTCCTCACACCCCGTGTCGACACCCGTGGAGAATCCTGCTCAGATTCGGGAGATGTTTGATGAAGTTTCTTATGACAAGGTAAAAATGTATTATAAGGATACAGTATGCACACTAAACTTACGGAGTGGAGAGGCTATAGCTGGGGCTGTGGGGTGACTTTCCCTTCATAAGGACCGACCTGGATTGAAGGCTTTCTCTTCTCACTCAGGCTGCCCAACATCAACTGTTTTAAGGCCTAACTTTAAGTATGGCTTAAAATCCTAAAGATTAAACTGTTGCCTCTTCGTCCTTTACTGTCGTAAGTGAATATTCACAGTCTACAGAAACTTTTAATTTATCCTTCAACAAATAGGTCTTGAAGGGCTTTAGCTTTGTACCAGGCAAAAGCACCTGCCCTTTTGTAGCTTTGGGTGCCTTCAGAAACAGTTGTCAAGCAAAATGTGTTTAATAAAAGAACTGGAAATTGTTGCCAACATGTAATAGTTGGGAGATTTTATATAAAAATCCATATTTCTGGCTTCTCTTTGAAGGAGAAAGAATTGTGGTCATGCCAGGCTTCTATTTATTTCCCTTAGCAATATGGACTGGAGATAAGTCATGGCTCCTTAATGAGATCAGGATTCTGCTTTTCCACTTTCCCTTCCATTATCAACCATTTCCATTATCCTCACCGAGGCAGAGAATGTGTCATTTATCGTAAAGCTTGGCTGCTTTATGTGTAACAAAGAGAAAAGTATTTCATGTTTGCATGTTCCCATCAATAGTGCAGAGTGGATAAAAGCAGACATAAAACAGACATATAAACACACACATAGATCAATGGACTAGAACAGAGCCCAGAAATCAACTCATGAATATAAGGTTCACTTATGAAAAAGGACCCAAGAATACACAATGGTAAATGGAGTCTCTTAAATAAATGATCATTTAGTTCTTCTGACACCATATACAAAGGGAATAAAACTGCACCACTGTCTTAAATGACTCACAAAAACTAACCTGAAATAAATTAAAGACTTAAATGTTAGGGTCAGAAACCATAAAACTCCTAAATGGAAAATAGAAAAAGTTTCTTGACATGTGTCTTTGAAGTGATTTTTGTTTTTTTATATGTGACACCCAAAACATAAGTGCATAAGCAACAAAGGCAAAAATCAACAAGTGGAATTACGTGAGATTAAAAACCGTGTGCATAACAAAAACAAAGTGAAAAGTTTGCACTCTGTACCTTATTTTCTCCCTACTGAATGGGAGAAAATATTTGGAAACCATACGTCTGACAACGGATTAGTATCCACAATATATGAAGAACTCATACAACTTGATTACTAAAGAAAACAATCTGATTTTATTTTTTTTTACATTTTACTTTTTAAATTCTTTTCATGGAAAGGCATTTTAAATATAGCATTGTGTACATGTCAATCCCAAACTCCCAATCTCTCCCTCCCCACCACCCTTCCCTCCTGATAACCATAAGTTTGTTCTCTGTGAGTCTATTAATATGTTCATTTGTATCATTTGTTTTAATTCCACATATAAGCAATATCATATGACATTTGTCTTTCTCTGTCTTGATTTACTTCAGTTAGTATGATATAATTTCCAGGTCCATCCGTGTTGCTACAAATGGCATTATTTCATTCTTTGTAATGGCTGAGTAAAAACAATCTGATTTTAAAAGCAGAAGAACCGAATAGAAACTTTTACAAAGACAAACATATGACCAATAGGTGCATTATAAAGTGCTCAACATCGCTAATCATTGGGAAAATGCAAGTCAAAACACAATGAAACATCCCCCCACACCTGTTAGAATGGTTAGTCTCAAAAAGATGAATAACAAGTATTGAGAAGATGTGGAGAAAGGTAACCCATGTGCACTGTGGTGGGAATGTAAATGCGTCTGGTCACCATGGAAAACAGGATAGAAAACAAGATATTACAAAATAGAGATATCATATCCAGCAATTCTACTTTGAGGTATTCAAAGAAAACAAAAACAGTAGCTAAAAGAGAGACATGCACCCCGTGTTTCTGGCAACCTTACAGTAGGCCAGATAGATGTTTCCATAAGTGTCCATTCCATGGTGGAATATTCAGCCATAGAAAAAGGAAAGCTTGGTGCTTGTAACTACATGGATGAATCTTGAGGGCATTATCCTAAATGAATTAAGTCAGACAAATCCTGTATGACCTCACTTAGCCGTTAAATCTAAAGGCAAAAACACATGAAGAGTGAGTTCATAGATTGGTGGTTGCCAGGGGCTTAGGGACAGGTGAAGATGTCAAAAGGTAAAAACTTCCAGTTATAAAATACATCATAGGGATATAACATACAGCATGGAGCTGTAGTTAATAGCGTTGAACTGTGTGTTTGAAAGTTGCTAAGAGGAAATCTTAGAAGTCCTGCTCACAAGAAAAAAATTGTAACCGTGTTGTGATGGGTGTTAACAGGGTGTACTACAGTGATCCTTGTGCAGTGTATGCAGGTATTGTATACCTGAAACTAATGTTGTACATTGATTATACCTCCATGAATTATATCTCACAAATCCTCGTCCTGTTGGCAGGGATAGGCGCTCAATGCAGACCTTCAAGGACTCAGGCTCTGCCCATCTAGGGACCCTACCGTCTCCTAGAACCAGAGAGAGACTGTCTCTACCTTGAGGGGACCTAAGACATTCTCTTGGAATGGAGATTTTTAGTTATGTCTTACAGATGAATTGGGGCTTTACAGGACGTGAAGTAGGAAGGGTTTCCTAGGAAGGGGGAATCATGATTTCCTAGAAGACTCAGGGTGGTGTTTTGAGCAAGAGGGAAGGAGGAAACGTTCTTGGTGGTTAGTCATATGAAAAGTTCAGGGGGAGACAAAGAACGTGTGAGCATTTTTCTCATCCTTGGACTCTGTCCCTCGTTTGTCACCTGTCTGACCACTGGAGGTATTTGAGTTTGTGACCCGTGATCTAGGAGAGTGGGCGAGGAGGGGAAAAGCTCGTATCACAGGAGTGCAGTGTCTAGGAGTTCTCGTGCCCCCTTTCTCACGTTGCTCTTGCTGGGCCAGTTCTCTGTGCTCAGGCTGCCAGTTCTTGCCAAATGGACTTTGCCATTTCTCACCTGTTCTCACCTTTGATTTCATCTCTCCCCACTCCTGCCCCAGAGGGGCGGTGGGAGAGCCACGTGGTGGTCCAAAGTCCCATGTTTATTCTGCATCATCGCCTGTGAATCATGGGAGCCAGCAGATGATAGGGAAGCTTGAATACTGACAAAAAATAGCAGTCCCGGTGACTAAAGCATGAAGAGTCGTATTGATCCCCCGCCTCAATCGGTCCAGGTGTAACCCGCTTTTTCCAATTGTTCCACAAGTGATCAGACACTAAAAATGTTACGGCATCTGCATCTTAACGAACGGCTCCAACATAGTGACAGTAGATGAGACGGAGGTGGACTCCAGCTAACAATTATTTATATGGCCTTTTCAGGGAGCTTGTATTCTGAATATGCTAAGGGACTATCTTGGTGCCGACACATTTAAAAGTGGCATCATAAAGTATCTGCAGAAGTATAGCTATAAAAACACAAAAAACGAGGACCTGTGGAATACTATGGCAAGCGTGAGTATGTTTTCGTGTATCTCTGTGTTTGGGGTTGACAGGCTAATTGCCTTATTTTGTTTCTGTTCTGTACCACATTAATTCTTCTGAGAAGAATCACGAGTGGTTTCTTTCTTTAAAAGGACTCAGTGATGTGTTTATTTTTGGTTTTTAGATTTGCCCTACAGATGACACACAACACATGGATGGATTTTGTTCTAGAGGTGAACATTCATCTTCATCTGCGGTAAGTTTTCACATCTGTATGTGTTACCCCAAAGCTCATCCTTTTATTCCATTTTCTTTGAAGGATAGCTCTGTGCCAAGCTTTCTGAGATCCTGGATCGTATCAGTCTCTCTGTAGATAAGGCTGCATTTAAACTATACCAGAGTGACAGCCTTTTACAGTTTTTCTTAAGTCTCTCTATACAAGGAAGTCTTCCAGCCTTCTTTGGTAACATTATCTCACTGATATTAACTTCTTCAGCTTCACTCTCTGTAAAGCAGTAGATTTATGACGTGCTTCTGTGGTAGATTAGGGCTATATCCATCAGGCTGTGTCAATTGTTTCCATAGCCCTTCATTTGTGGGGAAAAAAAAAAACATAGATGGCGTGAGCATTCTCAGGCACTTACGATGTGTCAGGCACGTGTGAAGCACTTACGTGTATAATCTGCTTTATTCTTAACAATAAGCCTATGAGCAAATGCTATTACCCCTATTTTTACAGCTGGGGAAATGAAATCCAAAGGCATATGATTAGTAAATTGCAGAGCGGGGATTTGAATTGAGATCTAACTCATGTCTTTAACTGCTAAGCTATAAAGAATTCATAACACCTGAATCACAAAGCAGCCTGAGTCTCTGTTTATCTGGCCTTGTGGAATATTTTTACAGGTAACTCAATGTGAGCCTAGAGATTCAACAGAATTGTATCCACTCGATTTTTATTTTCTTGGCTGTTTTGCTTTCAGAGACAGATTTATTCTGTAGTTTCTAGATGTGTCCCGTGGAATGTTTTATCCTTTCATTAGCTCTTAAATATTATTTGAAAGCTTTTTTAGTTCTAAGACTAAATCCTCGTTTGAGTTAATGGCTGGCTGTTGGGTTGCGGGCCACGTCAGTTTCATCACTTGGGAAGTACGGGCTCTCGATGGAGCACTTTCCCCCCACCTTGCTTGTTGGATGGACAGCATCCTTGTGTAGGTGGTGCACACCTGGCCACTTTCTGTCCTTTCTCTCCCTGCCTTCATACCCATGCCTGCTCTTGTGCCAATGCCAAACCCAAGGTCTGCCCAGGAGAACCCGGTATGGTACCTGTTTTTAAGGCAGAAGAAAGGGAGAGAATGAAAGCGAATAGTGGGTGCTCTGGTGGATATGCTATGGCTGGAGCCAGCAGGGGAAGGGAGCAGGCTGGGGGCTGGGAGCAGAGGAAGGGGCAGAGAAGAGCTTCACTGGCCATGGCCTCTGCAAGCTCAAGCTTGGGCTCTCTTCTCAGAGGCGGGGCCAAGTAGTTCACGTACCTGCCTTTTTCTCATAAAGCAGCACTGGCGGCGGGAAGGCCTTGATGTGAAAACCATGATGAACACCTGGACGCTGCAGAAGGGCTTTCCGCTGATAACCATCAGTGTGAGAGGCAGGAACGTACACATGAAGCAAGAGTACTATGCGAAGGGCGTGGCCGATGCCCCAGAAACCGGGTAATGTTCACAGGGGAACTCGTCTGTTGCCTCCATAATGACGTCTGCCTGGTAGGATGAACCCTTATTTTTGAACTAGTGCCCTTACCTTTGTTGCAAAACACGTTAATCAAATCTAAATGCCCTGTGAAGTTGACTTACACACCACCATCTTTTCAAAAGGATAAAGATGATACATAATTACTTTAACATTCTCATGATTTGTAGTTAGACATGATGGTAATTTTCAGTTACTGGATTGAAGTCAGCTCTAAGCATTTGTCACTAGATTACAGCAGTGCCTGTCAGTAGGGTTGGATCTCAGGACGTAAACATTTAGGTGATTTTCGGGAAATGCAAGAGACTTGATTCTCTTCTTTGCCAGTCTGATTTGGATCCCCAAACCTTTTTGTCAGCTTAACACTACGGAGGACATTGCTGGAAATGAGACACTGCAGCTTGACTGATGCTGGATGGACACTATTTAAATTTTTTTTTTTTAATGATTTCAGACCTCTGGAGAAGTTATAAGGAGAGCAAAGAATTCCCGTATATTCTTGGCCCAGATATGTGTTAACTCTTCACCACATTTATATGTCTACATATAACCTAAAATATCAAACAATTCCAAAAAATATGATCTTTATTTCCCTCTGTATATATGGCAAACATATATTTTTAACTGTTTGAGAGTAAGCTGGAGACATGATTCCTCTTCATTATGAAATGCTTCAGTGTGTTGTTCAATCGTTGAGTCGTGTCCAACCCTGTGACCCCATAAACTGCAGCATGCCAGGCTTCCCTGGCCCTCACTGTCAACTGGAGTTTGCTAAACTCATGTCCATTGAGTCAGTGATGCCATCCAACCATCTCATCCTCTGCTGTCCCCTTTTCCGTTTGCCTTCAATCTTTCTCAGCATCAGGGTATTTTCCAGTGAATTGGCTCTTCGCATCAGGTGGCCAAATTATTGGAGCTCCAGCTTCAGCATCAGTCTTTCCAGTGAATATTCAGGGTTGATTTCCTTTAGGATTGACTGGTATGATCCCCTTGCAGTCCAAGGGACTCTCAGAAGTCTCCTCCAACACCACAGTTCAAAAGCATCAATTCTTCAGCACTCAGCCTTCTTTGTGGTTCAACTCTCACATCTGTGTATGACTACTGGAAAAATCATAGCTTTCACTAAATGGATCTTTGTTGGCAAAGTAATGTCTCTGCTTTTTAATATGCTGTCTAGGTTTGTCATAGCTTTTCTTCCAAGGAGCAAGCATCTTTTAATTTCCTGGCTGCAGTTACTGTCTGCAGCCCAAGAAAATAAAATCAGTCACTGTTTCCACTATTTCCCCTTCTACTTGTCATAAGTAGTATTTTCTAAAAAGAAGAAAATTGATTTATATAATCACAGAACCTTTATCAAAATTATGAAATGAACTTGATACAATACTATTATAATGTATCAACCTTAGTCAACTTTACTCAGTGGTCCTAATCTTGTCTTTATAGCAAAAAGAAAAAAAAAAACCTGGTTTAGGATTTAATATAGGAAAAGATTGTATTTCTTGTCACATCTCTTTAGTTCTTTGATTTCTGAACCAGTTCCTCAGTCTGTCTTTCTTAAACTTGATATTTTTGAAGAGTAGAGGATAGCTATTTTAAAGAATGTCCTTTAATTTGGATTTTCTGCTATTTTTTTTCACAATCAGATTCAGCTTGTGCATCCTTGGCAGGAATTCCACAGAAGTGATGCTGTGGTCTCCTGAGTATAGGATTTAGTAGAAGGCACATGCTGTCAACTCCTCCACTTCTGGTGGTCTCACTTTTATAGTCACGCCCCCTGAGATCCCTATGAGACTATCAGGGCTCCCTTGCGCCCAGATTCTTAGCTCTATTCAAGGAGTCCAAGAAGAATGAATCGAACCTGAACTGGCAGCTCCCACAAAGCTGGAAATGGGCTGGGGATGTTTTGAGCTCTTAACTCTTGCTGTTTTGGGTACCATCTTTCTTTGAACAAGCCAGCGCCTGGCACATGGTAGGTGATTTAGGAACTGCTTGCATTGAATCAGCAAGAGACCTGTCTGTCTTCCTTTTTCTTAGGTTCCTGTGGCATGTCCCACTGACATACATTACCAGCAAATCAGACGCAGTCCAGCGCTTTTTGCTAAAGACAAGAACAGGTAATTTATTGTGGACCTAACTAGCTTACTTCAAGAAGGAACCGTTTAAATGTATAAGATTTAGATAATCAGTTTTCCTGAGTATTTATCTTGGTTAAAACAAAAACGATTGGGTCAGACCTCATCTTCAGCAGATCCCTGACTTTCAATTTCTAGTAAAGAATATAGGTTTGAAAATACTGTCCGGTTGCAAAAAAGAAGGCCAATATCTTGCCAGGTAAGGAATAAAACTGTTCAGTTATATAACGCTGAGGGGGAGAGACACTTCGAAAAATCACCCCTGACTTTAACACTGATGGGCTATATCATACATGTGGCCTGAAACATGGCAATGTTCTCACAAATCTATAAATCTGACAAAATTCGTGTCTTAAACTAGTATTGGCTTTTGCCTATTGGGATGCTGTTTTCTGGTTTCTAAAAGCAGTGTGTTCAATATGAAACTCATTTCAGTATTAAAGTTGTTGGGTATTAAACCTGCCTTTAGTTTCCTTGTCCAGTCTGTGATCAGAAAAGCTTTTACCAGTCAAGAGAGAAAACCGAGCTGTGATTTACTTTATTTGCTCTAGATGTGCTCATCCTCCCAGAAGAGGTGGAATGGATCAAATTTAATGTCGGAATGAATGGCTATTACATTGTGCATTATGAGGATGATGGATGGGACTCTCTGATTGGCCTTTTAAAAGGAACACACACGGCAATCAGCAGTAACGATCGGGCCAGTCTCATTAACAATGCATTTCAGCTTGTCAGGTAATGCAATCCCCCCTCACAGTCGTGGTTTATGCCTGAAAGCTGCTATTATCATTCAAATCTTTGATTTCTAAAGATGAAAATGATTGATTGCTAATAAGTTGAAGGATGTTTTCTCCCAAGTTCTCCTAATGATTCAGGGTTGCTTTTAGCCTCAGGATTACCTCCTATCTGTGTCTGCTGAGGACTGAGGTAAAGAAAGGAATCTGTATTTTAATCTTTTTCATTAACAACTTGGATCAGATGAAGGCAGAAGTGCAGAAAACCGGGAGACTGACATCCCAGAGAAGCCCCTTGCCTGGCCTTTAAAGCCTAGCCCTGCAGCTTTTCCTGGCCTTGCTGTATGTAACAGATCGGGTTTCTCCCTGCTGGGTGAAGGCTTCTTAGAAGACTAAGGTCGCCCAGACCCAAGCTGTCATCATTACATCTCTTGGACTAAAGGAGAGCAGTTCCCCTGTCCCATCCCCATGCTACCCAAGCTGGATGCCTGGACGTCACAACATCTTTATGGCATGTAGCTCATAGAACATGGTCCAGCCAAATGACCTTTGAGTGGGTGAGGATAATATTCACTTTTTTTTGCCCCTAGCATTGGCTTTTCAGGAAATCTTCCCCTTGCCTAAAACTCAAACTTCTTCACTCTTTAGGTAGAAGTGAGGTCTAAGAGGAATCCCCCACATGGGAAAGAATACTGTGATTCTCAGCCTCCATGTCACTCGGCTCTAAAATGTTGAGTTCTTCCTTTTTGGGGGCCTCTTGAGGTGATAGAAAGCAGTGGGGGATAAAGATAAGGGTTACTTATGAAGCCGTTTCTGCCTGCCTGAATATATATAATCCCCTCCACAGCGCACCACTGCTTAAATCACTGTGTTTACTTACGTGCGCACAGGTACCCTACCACTGAGGCTTTTAAGACCAACTCTTATTGTAATGACGAATTTTTTAGATCTACATTCAGTTTCTTTTTGTTTTGTTATTGCTTTTTTTATTTGTAAAAATTAAAAAAAATTTTTTTAAATTTTAATTGGAGAGGCTAATTACTTTACAATATTGTGGTGGTTTTTGCCATACATTGACATGAATCCACCACGGGTGTATATGTGTCCCCTATCCCGAACCCCCCTCCCACCTCCCTCGCCATCCCATCCCTCAGGATCATCCCAGTGCACCAGTCCTGAGCACCCTGTCTCATGCATCAAACCTGGACTGGCGATCTATTTCACGTATGATCATATACATGTTTCATTGCTACTCTCTCAAATCATCCCACCCTCGCCTTCTCCCACAGAGTCCAAAGTCTATTCTTTTATTCAGTTTCTTTTTGAAACGGAGATGAGGATGTGCTAACTCCACGGACTCATTCTGGTGACTGAGGGGCAGCCTCTCCGGTGAAGCTTCCTGAGGGATCTTGGATCACAGCTCCCGGTTCACTCTGGCAGTCCAGCAAGGTCCGATGTTTCCTAGAGGGACAGATGCTGACCTGCTGCAATTGCATCTTAACCACAACCAGGAGAGCTCCACTATTATATGTGCTTATATAATATATTACATTACATTACATTATATTATATATATTATATGTGGTTAGCACTACTATTCGAGAAAGTTCTTTCACAGGGCAAACATATCACATGTTGTGTTATATGTGACAGGAAAGCTGTTAGTGTGGAGGTGATTATCTGTAAGGAGTTGTCTATATGTGACCGAATATCTTGCTGGAAGCTTGTTAAAATAACTTTTGAGGCAAACAGTTGATTTCCTGGATGTTTCTTTCAAACTGCTAACCCCGGTGTCTCTTGATCAGTATTGGAAAGCTGTCGATTGAAAAAGCCTTGGATTTAACCTTGTACCTGAAGCATGAAACTGAAATCATGCCAGTGTTTCAAGGTTTGAATGAGCTGATACCAATGTATAAGTTAATGGAGAAGAGAGATATGAATGAAGTGGAAACTCAATTCAAGGTAAAAGGCTGGAATAAACCGAATAGTTTTTAGATAACCAGTTTGCTTTGGTGTGGGTGTGGAAAAGATTTCTTACTGTGGTGTATACTTTATATACATATCTGGATACATTTTAAAGAAAATCGCAATTATCTTCATACCTGAGTTGACCCGTGAAGATTTTGGTTTTATTTTGGCACTAAAAACAGGCCTGGCACTGTTAGACCCTGTTCTTAAGTTTCAGGGGCTTGTCATTCCCTCATGTGGCTGATTCTTTATGTCATTTTACTTCTGTATTGTGATGGTTGCTCTTAAGATTTCCTGGGACTCAGGCACTCAAGCAGGAGGCATGCAGTTGTTACTTTTGGCAAAATGTCATGAAGTCTCATTGTATAATTTGCTCTCAAAATGTCGCATCAACTGTCTCTTTTAGTGTGTTTTGAAAGTGGCAGCTCATCCTGATTTTAAGTAGACTAAGTACATGTCTATAAGATGGTTAGGGAAATACTCAAATCATTCATCATTTCTTGCTTTAACCCCTTTAATAATTAAATAGAAACTGAACCGCATGGTTTTGAAAGTCTGGGTTGGACTGAGCTTTAAGAAGCAACGCCCATCCCCCGAGGGAGTACTGAGCTCTGTAAACCACGAGGCGACTGGTGGCAGGTGTGGCTTTCCCGAGGCGACTGGTGGCAGGTGTGGCTTTCCCGAGGTGACTGGTGGCAGGTGTGGCTTTCCCGCAGGCCTTCCTCGTCAGGCTACTGAGGGACCTCATTGACAAGCAGACGTGGACGGACGAGGGCTCCGTGTCGGAGCGAGTGCTGCGAAGTCAGCTGCTGCTCCTCGCCTGCGTGCGCAAGTACCAGCCCTGCGTGCAGAAGGCAGAAGGCTACTTCAGACAGTGGCAGGAAGCCGATGGAAACCTGAGGTCTGTTTTTATTGAGCAACTAGCTTGCTTATCGGAGAAAGCAATGGCACCCCACTCCAGTGCTCTTGCCTGGAAAATCCCATGGGCGGAGGAGCCTGGTGGGCTGCAGTCCATGGGGTCGTGAAGACTCGGACACGACTGAGCGACATCCCTTTCACTTTTCACTTTCATGCATTGGAGAAGGCAATGGCAACCCACTCCAGTGTTCTTGCCTGGAGAATCCCAGGGACGGGGGAGCCTGGTGGGCTGCCGTCTATGGGGTCGCACAGAGTCGGACACGACTGAAGTGACTTACTTAGCATCAGCAGCAGTTTGTTCATGTAAGGGGTATCTTTTCTGTGTTCCATCATCATGGCTCAATGTTGGTGGCAAAAAAGAAACAAGTATAGATCAGACTGTTCTGGTGCTCTTTAAGGAAAATAATTTTTTTTTTTCTTTTAGATTTATCTATGCCCCTCTCAACTTTCTGCTTGAAGAAATGCTAAGAGGAAACCTCTATGCGCAAAAGTCAGATATCTGAACAGTTAGAATGGGATTCGAATATTTACTGGGTTATTTTGGTATAGCCAAGGATACAAAAGGGCTTCCCTTGTGGCTCAGCTGGTAAAGAATCCACCTGCAATGTGGGAGACTGGGGTTCGATCCCTGGGTTGGGAAGATCCCCCGAGAAGGGAAAGGCTACCCACTCCGGTATTCTGGCCTGGAGAATTCCATGGATGTATAGTCCACGGGGCGGCAAAGAGTCAGACACGACTGAGCAGCTTTCACTTCACTTCACTTCAAGGATACAAAGGTGGCTTACTCAGGTGTCTCAAGTGATAACCTGCCTGCCAATGCAGGAGACGCAAGAGACACAGGTTCGATTCCTGGGTTGGGAAGATCCCCTGGAGTAGAAAATGGCAACCTATTACAGTATTCTTGCCAGGATAATCCTGCGGTCAGAGGAGCCTAGCAAAGTCAGACACGACTAAGTGCACACATGCACACAAGGATACAAAACCTCATTAGAAATGAGACAGCTATGCTAGACAGGAACAGAGGCAGTGCCTCTCATAGTAGCTTTTTCAGGCCTCTCAAGCTCCTGACAGGTGGGGAGGGGACACAGAGGGATATGGGGCCGGGATCAAGTCCTTTTATATTTGCGGCTTAAATCCCATGCAGGAAATACTAAGCCAACAATATACGTACTTGCATTTAAAGAAGTGCCTACAAACAGTGGTCCTATTGGGTTCCTGACTTTTGTTCATGGACTTCATCTTAAGTCTAGTTTGAATTTTTTTTCTTTTGTCTTGGAAAGTGACTACCTATTCAGTCACTTGGCATCATTCAAATATGTTAGAAACAGATGTATTTAAAGAAGTGGCATAAAAAAAATTAAAGAAGTGGCATTTCACAGTATATTTTTGAGAAAGCTACTTAAAACTTAATTTCAATTACTCTTTCTTGCCTCTTTATAAAATGTTACTGAAGGAAAGAGGTTATTTTTGTTTACATTTCCGAACACATGTCTCTGATTGTGGAGCTGGTTTATCATTTTGTAATAAGTAAGTCTCCTGCCTGCAAACACACTTTCTTCATCCCTGACTCACCCTTGGTATGTTCTTTTTCACAGCTTGCCCGACGATGTGACCTTGGCAGTGTTTGCTGTGGGGGCCCAGACCCTCGAAGGATGGGATTTTCTTTATAGTAAATACCAGTCATCATTGTCCAGTACCGAGAAAAACCAAATTGAATTTGCTCTCTGTATCAGCCAAAATAAAGAAAAGCTTCAATGGTGAGTAATTCATTCATGTTCATATAGCCAAAAGGAATTAAATGGAAGCAGATCCTTCTGGCATCTATTTTTGTTCTCTTGGCCAGGAACCGTATTTTCTGCTGGGAACATTTATGCAGGAGGGCGCACATCTAATGTGTATGGTAAATAATTAGGGAGCAGCGGGTGTCAGGAAAAATATTTTGGGGAGTATGTATTTGTGTATCTTTAACACATTTAGAAATATATACTTGGTATACTTATTTAGCCACTTGTGAGCAAAAAGAGAATATATGAGAAGGGGTGTTATAAATATAAATGTTAGTTTTTATTATTATGTAGCTATAGTGAGTTTCTCAGGGCTCTTTTATAACCTAGATCAGCTTTTTTTTTCTTTCACAAATCATTGTATTAAAAAGTTCAGAACTTTTTCAGGGCCTCTTCATTGCTAACACGTCTCTTAATCATTCTAGGCTACTAGATCAAAGTTTTAAGGGAGATGTAATAAAAACTCAAGAGTTTCCAGATATTCTTAGAGCTATTGGCAGAAACCCAGTGGGATATCCGTTGGCCTGGCAGTTTCTGAGGGAAAACTGGAACAAACTTGTGCAAAAGTAAGTCATGCCAAAAACTGTGATGTGACTGGGAAGAATTCCTGAAACTCGCTGTGTTTTAGCCGAGTCTGTCAAATAATAGGGGTTATCTAGAGGGATTCTTTTATTGAAGATAGGAGGTAGAGGTACCCAAAATATCCTTAGAAAATATGAAACTCTAATTCAGTGCTAACTAGTGGATCTGGGTGGTTAAGTTTTTCATGCCACGTGGAATAATCTCTTCCTGTACCCTGGGCCCTATGTGAAGCCTTCTTCTGCACAGTTCAAGCCAAGTCTTCTATTTAGTACTTCTGCTCACTGCATCTGCCCTTGTAAGTAGCACTTGTTACTTGTGTCATTTTCTTTTGGGTACTTTATCTTTTATTCAGTGGCTGGTGTGTTTATTTTTTACAACTAGATCTTAGCCCCTTGGAGCTAAGGATCATGTCTTATCTTTTTCATGCCTAACTAGTTTCTGGTTGATTGCTATAACATATGTTGAGGCACTTAAAAATACATATGGAATGAGCAAATACTTCATAATACATTTTGACAATTTCTATTTCTAGGTTTGATCTTGGCTCAAATTCCATAGCCTACATGGTAACGGGAACAACGAATCAATTCTCAACAAGAGCACGGCTTGAAGAGGTAAAATAAATAAATAAAAAGCTTTCTTTTTAAACCTAAGTGACAGTTAACTAATAGGTTATCTAATAAATAGGGGGTCAGCAAAATACTTGAAGGGCCTGCTGAGTTAGAAATGAATTTTGTCACTGAGTGCATGTTCTTTCTGGATGTGTGTTGTGTTCAGTAGGGTGGTTTTGATTTTAGCAAAAAATTATTTGATTTTACAAATAATTGAAAGCTGTGCCTCTCCCCAAACATGTTTAGAAGTCTTAGCTCTGCCATTGGAAATTTTAGGGCTTAAAAAATTACTTTAGACATCTAATCCCTGTTTAGGATGTTAAACATGATTATTGGAGGAATAAGTGACTGAAGTGATCATCTAGTTATTTTGAAAGAGGCTGGTCTGGAAAATAAGTTCTCCACTATGCAAGCTTGTGATTTCCCATACTTACTTTATGTACTGTCTACTTTCAGAAAGAATTTTAGGCCACTTGTAAGGTCTATATATAAAATAATGTTAACCAAAAAAGCTGCATAATGTTCAGAAAGAGGTAACTGTATGAGGGATTTATGCTGAGGACAATTTATTGCAATTGTACCCTAAATTTATCACAGCTTCCTAGCAGCCAAGGAAAGATGAGAAAACAGTATGAGTTATTGTCAGGCAAGAGAGACCCATGGAACATGCAAGTTTTCCACAAAAGCAAACTTTTCAGTCTTTATGGGTCATTTTGTGGAGGTGCACGTGTGTGGTCAGTCACTTCAATTGTTTCTGACTCTTTGCAACACTATGGACTGTAGGCTCCTCTGTCCGTGGGATTCTCCAGGCAAGAACACTGGAGTGGGTTGCCATGCTGTTCTCCAGGGGATCTTCCCAACCTAGGGATCGAACCCTCAGCTCCTGCAACTCCTGCAACTGCAGGCAGATTCTTTACCCACTGAGCCACCTGGGAAGCCTGGCTCTTCCCTAACAGTGTTCTCTATAGTAAAGTTGTAGAACACATTTTACATGGCTTTAAAAATGTTGCATTTAGATAAAATCCGAGAGCCTACTATAAACTTTCTTAGGAATGGTTCAATTGTGTAGTTCCGTGATCTAGCTTGATAGAGACTGCTTTGAAAATGAAAAAGAAATGTGACAACCCTTATTTCTCCAGTTTTTCAGTAGTCTCACCCAGGCTGGTATAATTATCTTGCACACAATAATTCAAGCTTGACCTTCTAGTGAGGTCTACAGCAGAGATACTTTGTGTGATGACTGCAGGACCAACCAGGGGCTGTGACCAGATGTGCAGTAACAAAAGATTTCATTTATTGATTGATCATTTATTTTCTCAATAATTCACTCAAGAGGTACTTCATTCTTACTCTCCAGCAGTTACAGTTTTAGGTCAGGGCTACAGTGATGAAACAGGATATACAAAGTCCCTGCCCTCACAGAGCTTATATTCCACTGGGAGAATCAGACAGTCAGGGACACATCAACCTATGCCGGGTAGTTATATGCCCTGAAGATGAATAAGGCAGGGGAAGGAGAGTGCGTGACTGGGTAAAGGATGATGCCATGTTCTGTGGGATGACGAGTGGACGTGTGAGCAGGTGCAGATGGAAATGGAGGCGTCTAAGAGGAGAGTGTTGTGTGCAGAGGAAGCATCAGGTACAAAACCCCTGTGCCAGGACATGTAAATGAAAGCGCCTGACATGTTGTCAGATGGAACGTGTCCTGCTGACGTTTAAAATGCAGGCACCATCCCGAGCCCGTCCTTCCCCTCGCCTCCAGTCCCCCCTGAGTCCTCTTGGCCCTGCTTCCGGCTTGTCCATCCTCTGCGCACCCCTCTGCTCTTAGTGTGGCCAAGCCTTTCTCCTCTCTTGCCTGGGACTACGGTGGTAACCTCTTGACTGGCCTTCCTTCTGCCATTTGACCAGCGCCAAACTGTTTTGCATCCTGAAAACTGAAAACCCACCCATGGCAGACTGACCCTTTCTTGGAACTCTTGCCCATTGCTCTGGACATCTCAAACCTCTCCTTCCTGTGTGGATGAGTCCACGATGACCTGGCCCCTGCCCACCTCTCCGGCTCATTCCCGCACACTTCTGCGCTCACCGTCTCAGCCACTCAGTCTCCTCCTGCCTCTGGGCCCCCCCGGGTATTTCTCCCGGCTCGAAGCCTCCACGCTTATTCCTTCTTCTTCCTGGCTTGCTCTGTCCCCAGCTTTAGACTGGAAAGGTTCATTTTATTTTGCATAAATTCCCCGAGTTCAAGTGTCATCACCTCTGCAGACCACTTTGTCAAAGGCAGGCCACCCCCATCCCCAGCTGTGATCGTGGCCTGGGCTTATTTTCTCCACCGCCGTGCAGAGTCATCCTAGTTCACTTCTTGTCTCCTCTGGCAAACCGTAAGCTCCATGAGGACAGGGTGCTTGCCTGACTCATGGCCTCATCCTCAGTGTCTTGCACAGTAATTAAGCCAGAGGGATGAGGAAGTCTCAGAGTCAATATTCATGAAGAAATGGATGCGGGTGAGTCCCTGGGCTTTAGGTCCCTAGACCCTCTGGGCTTTAGGTTCTGCACTTCACCCACATTACACAACAGGGTCCTCACCAATGCTCTGCAGTATTACAGATGAGGAATCTGAGTCCCGGAGAAGTTAAATCATTTATTCTACCCATATATCAGGCTGCTCATTGCACAGAAAATGTTCTCAAGGAGGCAAGTGTGATTCATCTATGTCTTCAGCTGAGATGCTGGATTTCCCAAGGCAGATGAAGATAGGAGTGATAAATCTGGGTCCAGAAAAGTTGAAGGGCAGGGGTTAACTACGGGCTTTGTTAGAGCTCTTGTAGGTCTTTTTTAGTACTATCGTGTTAAGCTTCTTTAGGACTAATTAATTTGACCGATTAGTAAAACCATTGATGTGATTCAACTGAAGAGTGCCCTAGTGATTTTTTTATTTTTTATATTTTATTAAGTATAGTTGATTTACAATGTTAATTTTTGTTGCATAGCAAAGTAGCTCAGCCACACTTTTTTTTTTTTCATATTCTTTTCCTTGATGGTTTATCGCAGGATTTTGCCCAGAGTGATTTTTTAAATAGCATATTAATTAATCTTGAGTTCTGATAGAAAAACAATAGGTTGAGCTACAGTTTAAGGCAGGACAATGAAGTAGGGTGTTCTCTAGGTTATTATAGTGGGAGGACATGCCTTCAGCTCACTGAAAAGTTCTACTGAGGTTTAATTTTAAAACAACCCTGAATCATTTAAAATTGGAATTTGATCTTTCAAAAGCCTATTCTTCCCCACCTCCTGTCCCCAAACTTATGATATTATGACATGGATTTTTAAGGAATTAAACTGTCTGGAATCCATGCTGAATAAATAATACATCTTGGCCGAGACTTGCTTCCTGTCTACAAAATCAAAAATTGATGGATTAATGCTGTGAAAATTTATGGGAAAAGGTTAAGAACCCTTGACGGTGAGAGAGTGTAGCACAATGGTCAATGCTGTTTCCAAGCCAACCTATTCCTCCTGTGAGCTTAAAGGGGATTTTTATCACCCAGCAGAGAAACAACAGCAGATACTTTCGAGGAGATAGCCAAACGACTCTTATCTCTCTAAAACCGTGGGGAGTATTGTGTGGATTTTATCTTGAGGGAATAATACATCAACTGTGGATTAGGAGAAAAAAAAATTGGCAAGGTTTGGGGTATTACCACCATAACTTGCTAAGAACCCCACTCCTTGCAGTGTTTCTATAATAACATACGTGGCCAGGGCCACGGAGAAAGACCACACTTTATGTGGCTGAAGCTGTTTGGCTTGGCAAAGAAAACATTCTGCACCTTCTGCTTTTTTCAGACACGTTTTAAAAATGTTAAGTTTGCATCAGTGCCTATGTCACAGACGACACATAAAATAGATACACAAGATTAAAACTTAATTATAAAATGGTAAACGCCGAAGTCTTTTAGAATCTGGTAACTGTGAATAAGTTTTTAAAAGCTGCAGAGAAAGAAAGAAAAAAAAAAAACACTTGACATCCTGAGGCATGAGCTCATTTCAGAGCTCAAGTTTATGTACATAATCGTATCCAGACACCTGGCCCTGCCTTCTCTGTAGAATTTTGACAAATGCTGGAATTCTGGCTTCAGTTTGAACTAGCCTGAACTTACATTTGTGTAACTTGAAAACAAAATTTTACAATCCCAATTTTTCCCCCACAAGGTAAAAGAATTCTTCAGCTCTTTGAAGGAAAATGGGTCTCAGCTCCGTTGTGTTCAGCAAACCATCGAAACCATCGAGGAAAACATACGTTGGATGGACAAGAATTTTGATAAGATCAAAGCGTGGCTGCAGAGTGAGAAGCTTAACCTGCTGTAACAGTTCAGCTCTTAGCCGGTTCCTGTGATGTATAATCTCCAAACTTTTGTTGAATGTGAATATTTTCAAAGTGGAGATGGGCCAGCTTGGCACCCACTGAAGATGCCTCTTGCCCCTTCAATTCATCTCACCCTTTCCTTCTCGTGAAGACCGGCTGCTTCACGTTTTCCTCAGGGAGTTGCTGCCACTACGTGTTCCATTATAGGTGTGACCCCAAAATGTACACCCATGTGGGGGATTCCCTACTGTGGAGAAGTAAAAGTTCCTGATTCTTCTTATATTGTACACTGAAGCCCCGTGGTCTCCACACCCCCTGCTCCCCACGTGCCTGTCATTCATATGCTGCTGCGTCAGTCTCCTGGGAAGGCTGTCAACAGTGATGACTGAACCGTGAACCCCTGGGGTGCTGACTGAACCATGAATCCCCCCTCTCCATCCCACCTTTCTCCCGCTTGCTGCTTGCCCAGGGGCTGACCTGTCCGGCCACATCATGAGGCTTCCCTGTCCTCCAGCTTCGGCTGAACTCCCAGGAGGGCAGATCAGAGCTGGGGTTGGGGAGAGAGCAGGTGAGAGTCTTTATTCTCCTGGCTTCCTTGCAGGTAGCCTCAGGCTGGCCTCCAGCAGAAGGGCTCAGCTCCAGGGAGGTGGAAGCCTGGCTTTCGTTAGTCCTGTCTGGACTCGTGGTTTTCATACAGCCTGCTCATATTCTTGTTTAAAAACAAAACAAAACCCCCACAAACACCTTCCGTAGAGCCCTCCTGAGATAATCCTAATTAGAGGGTGCCATCTATTTCCTCAAGGCTACTGACCAGCAGTGTCCCTCCTGAAAGAGCAGACTGCTTTCAGGTCTAAAAGAGAAACCTGTCATTGCAAGTTGAACCTGAGTGCCCTTGATCCTTCGGTAGGTGATGCTTCCCCTCCCTGTTTCTTATTTGGTCTGGTTTCAGTTCAGTTCAGTTGCTCAGTCATGTCTGACTCTCTGGGACCCCATGGAGTGCAGCACGCCAGGCCTCCCTGTCCATCACCAGGTCCCAGAGTTTACTCAAACTCATGTCCATTGAGTCAGTGATGCCATCCAACCATTGAAGAACTGACTCATTTGAAAAGATCCTGATGCTGGGAAAGACTGAAGGTGGGAGGAGAAGGGGCCGATAGAGATGAGATGGTCTGGTTTATAATCCCTAAATAACTTCTTGTTGGTGCTTACTGCCCTCGGGCACTGCAGACTCTACTAAATGTAAGCTACTGTCAAATGGAAACTACTTGCTTATATTAGCCTAAGCGAAGACCAGGTATGGTGTTGGAGTTGAAATCTTTTATGAGCTTAATATATTGCAAAACTTAAGTTAAAGGAATAGGATATAAAAATGTCAATGTGTTCTAATACACTATGGAATAGAAGGTCTTTTCTGGATATAAATGTGTTTATAATTCCATTTTCATACATACTGCATGACTTAATGATTTAAGAACTAAAAAACAGAAATCACTGGTAATTTCTACCCCCCGGGTGTTTTCCTTCTAAAAAACATACAAAGCCAAGATTTTAATGTAAAATACTTTCCTTTAATTGCATCTTGTATCTTGAGTAATGAAACATGGAAATAGTGGTTTTCGGTTTTGGTCACCTGAGGAACCTATTGTCATTTGCTTTTGGAGAAGTCCATTTTCTAGACACGAATCACCACAACAATGTGCAAAACCCCTTTTGGTAATAAAAAATGTTATTTACCTCTAAGCAAATATTTGCAATTATTTACTGCAAATTAGATGGGTAAAAAGGACTGATTTAGATCCTGTAGCTTACTCAGTTCATCATTAATTACCAGCAGACAAGACTCCCAAGTCTTGAAGACATTTTGAATAAACAAAAAGGCATATTCAGAGAACCTTAAGTAAATGTTTACTTTCACAGGTATTTCTTAAATCTCTGGATTTGGTATGTAATTTAAAAAACATTATATATGCATGTAAATTAGTAATACTGGTGTCAGATCTTTGCAAACACATCTGTCAATGTCAGAGGTTTCACTTCTTTCTTTTTTTTTTTTTAAACAAAACAGCTTTGTACTACCTATAGACACATAGTTAAAATCCCTCAGGAAAAGTGTTATTTTCTTGTTAGTGCCTTGAAAAGGTCTTTTTAAGTTACCATTATCCTGGCTTTTATTTCCCATTTTAGACTAATAATGCCTTTATCTCTCATGAAATGAAGACAGAGCATTTGAAGTGGATGAAGTTTGCAATTTCAGGCATATGCATGATTTTTAAGGAGAATTTTTAGACTGTATTAATAGAATTGGATACCCATTATAAGCACTGTTGTTATTTAGCTTGCCTCCTACCCCATTAGATAGTATCAGTGATACTTATTTTTAGAGAAATTGCTAAGTCCTAAGAAATAGTTTAAACAGATGCGAAGGAAAGCTGTGCTCTCTGAAACCAGGAATTCCAAATCAGTTTTGTGATGTGTACCTGATATCTTTTCCTGCGTTCACGATCAGAAAATGAAGATGGGATTTTGATAATTTCATCAATGATATCAGTGTTATGTCCATCAACCATTCAGATAGATATGAGAAACCATTCCGAGTTGTGGGATATCAGACCCTCCCTAGTTCTTAATTTGCTATGGGGGAAGAAAAAAACAGATTTTTTTAATGTTAAAAAGATCTTTCTTCTTTATTTTTTAAGCAGAAGTTTGTTTTTGTATTTGGTAATAAACCCAGCTTCCATTAAGCCACATGCTGCACAGTGCAAGACTCATGTGGCAACGGCTCTATGCTAACAGCTGCTGCTCAGGTTTCACAGAGAGACGATGGCAAGCATAGCTTAAGGCAGCACTGCAGCAGACATCAAGCCATGTGAGTGTTCTAAGAATTAGACTTGGTTATTCTTGAAACTTGCTATGCAGTGACATAGTCTGCATTTTGCTCTTCTGACTTGAGTCAAGTCCCGGTGGGTCTGTGAGGACAAGATGCAGAAGTCCTAACCTCTGGCAGAGAGGCTGGTGGGGGGGGTCGGTGCTTCCTGGTCTGTCCAGGGTCTCTACAATTAGCAGCTCAAGAGGAGACATGTGCCCAATGCACAGTATTTTATGTCTGACTTATCAACCCAAAGAAACATCAAATACAGTTCAAAAGTCCAAGAGGAAAGGGGTCATGAGAAATCAGAACACTGAAGAATATGTGAGGCATCGTTTTCCAAATGCTAACAACAAAAATAATTAAGTGCAAATTGAAAATACTAATGAGATTTACAGGCACTCTGGGGAGAATGTGCAAAAGTTTGCAAAGGTTTTTCCTTTTATGTGTGCTGCTTTAAGAAACTATCAAATATATCTCTTAGAAATATAAAGTTCCTTTCTCTCCCAACTGAAGACAATTTTTAAAAATTCAAAGTTTATCAATACTCAGTAGAATAACACAGGTGAACCAGACAAATTCAGTTTCTTTTCAGGAAAAGAATTACAGACAATGTTTAGGATGTCAAAAGAATCAACAAATACCACTGTCTAGAAGCCACCCAGAAATTGTTTCTGTTGTCAAAGCCTTTTGTTCTTCAGAAGTCACCATCTACCCGCTGAAGATTTTATATGCAGATACCTTGAAAAATTCAAAGAAGAAAATGCAGTGAACCATTTGATATGTTATTTTCTTATTACAGGCATAATAAATCCAAGGAGGCATTTACTGTAAGCAGATATTAGAGTAGAAAATTAGAAAAAAAAACTTTTTTTTTTTTAAATTTTGGGGACAATCTTTGGAGCGGTCCTAATCAGTATACTTTCCTCTATAGGACATAAAAGTGAATCATGGTGAGAGAGCCCAATCCAATTTAATCTACGTTATTTCTTTTAGATTTTTTGCAGAAAGTAGTTATATACTTTTGTCATTTAGAATAAGACCTCTTCTCTTTGACATTAATAAGGGCCTAGCTCTCAAGATAGATGTCAGTCTCCCTCATCCATACCAGCTCTTCAGTCGCCATAAAATAGAATCAAACACAGGGTTTTACTTTCTAAAACTAAGATGAACCAAAGTTATCAGTCTTTTCCTTTGTACTGTTCTCAAAACCCTGTAATTACCATGAGACCGTAGGCGTGCACTCCTTACCCCACATGTGTTTTGGGTAATTTCTAGATCATAAGGCCATTTCACTATAAGATGTAACTTGTCAATTTTGCTTTGCCACAGTAACCTGCAGTCACGAGCATCTGGGTTTCAAAGGGTCAACTAGACTTAGTTGGTCATTTTGTTTAAGAGCGTGGCCTAGTATTTTGGAGAGCTTTTAATTATAAGAGTAATGTGTTTAAACATTCTGGAAGCACCATTTATTGCTTTTCAGGGAATTACTCTACAGATTTTGCAGTGTGCATTTTATGCCAATAGCATAAAGAGAACATGAAACACTCAAGAAACGGACTTAGTTTTTCTCACCTATAACACACAGGCTAGTTAGAACGTACAGTGGTCTTCATTTGTGACAAACACCTAACTTACCAAATAGTGTGAACTTTAACTTGTACTTTTTCCATCAGCTTTGGGCTTGGAAGTTTCCTCCTTTGCCTAAAAGGACAAGCAAAAACCATCAATGAGTTCTTTTATTTTCTGGATTGAGTACCCAAAACTGATCAACCAGATGAGCTTTATGAGGAAAAATGCTTTTCAGGTTTAAAAAGGTAAAAGATGGCAGTTGGCAGGGCAAAATAGGATAGTCCTTTTAAAGTACCTTATTTAGCCCAAACATTGAATTCTTCCCCTTGAAGTTTATAAACTAAAAATAACCTTAAGTGATTCTAAATGTTTTACTCTAGGCTGTTGTGGTTTTTTTTTTTTGAAGGCCAACATAATTGGTTTCCACTTGCAAGGCCTATTTTTTCCATCTCTTCACTTTCAGTCTGTCCTTAAATTTGAAGTGAGTTTCTAATAGGCAGTATGTATAGATGCGTCATTTTTTTTTTTTTTAATCCATTCTGCCTCTCTGTAATCTGGGGAGTTTAGCTCATTATTTTCAAAGTATTTATTAATAAGTATGTACGTATTGCCATTCTATGAACTGTTTTCTGACTCTTCTGTAGTTTCTTTGTTCCCTCTCTGGCTCTCTCCCTTTTTGTGATTTGATGATTTCCTACAGTAGTAAGCTAGGTTCCTTTCTCCATCGTGTATCTACCATAGGTTTTCATGTATCTACTCTGGTTACCATAAGGCTTACATACAATAGCTTACATTTATGTCTTAAGTTGACAACTACTTAGGTTTGAATGCATCCCAAAGCAGTTTTACTCGTCATCCTCATGTTTTATGTTTTTGATGTCCATTTTATATCTTTTTAATCTTGTGTATCCCTTAATTAATATAGTTAGCTATTTTTTAACTACTTTTGTCTTATACTCCATACTAGCTTTATCAGTGATTAATACACCACCTTTACAACATTAAATTATTCTGAATTTTTCTGTATATTAACCTTTACCAGTGAGATTTACTTTGATTGTTTTCTCATTACTAATTTGCACCCTTTTCAGCTTAAAGAAGTCTTTTTAACGTTACCTGTAAGACTGGTTTAATAGTGATGCACTCCTTTAGCTTTTGCTTATCGGGAAAACTTTTTTTCCCTGAATGACAGTTTTTCTAAGAAGAGAATATTCTTGGTGTTTTTTCTCTTTCGGCACTTTGAAAATATATCATGATACTCCTTTTCTGGCCTGCAAAATTTCTGTTGAGAACCTGCTGAGAGTCTTAACGGAGGCCCCTTGTATGTAAAAAGATGTTTTTCCTTTGGGATGCTCCAATTTCTCTCCTTGTCTTTAATTTTTTTTTTGTCTTTAACTTTTGACATTTTAATGTGTCTTTGGTGTGCATGTCTTTGGGTTCTTCTCATCTGAAAGCATCTGGGCTTCCTGGATATGAATGTCTGTTTCCTTCCCCAGGTTAGGGGAGGTTTTAGCCATTATTTATGTCAATAAGTTCTTTGCCCCTTTCTCCCTTGCTTCTTCTTTTGGGACCCCTTTAATGCAAACGTTCATCCGTGTTGGTCTGTGTGATACTGTCTGATAAGTCTTTTCGGCTATCTTTACTATTTTCTTTTTTTTTTTTGCTGCTTTGACTGGGTGAGTCCCGTTGCTCTGTCCTTGAGTTCCTGGGTCCTTACTTCTTCTTATAGTCTGCTGTCGAACCCCTCTAGTGTGCTTTTCAGTTCAGTTATTGTATTCTTCAGCTCTGTGACTACTTGTTACGTTCTTGTATTTTTCCTGTATCTTTGCCGAAGTTCTCACTGTGTTCATCTATTCTTCTCCCAAGTTTGGTGAGCATCTGTATGACTGTTACTTTGAACTCATCAGGTAAACCTCTTCATTAAGGTTTCTATCCTGAGGTTTTAATCGTCTGGAACGTATTCTTCCATTTCCTCATTTTCTTTGACTCTCTGTTGGTTTCTGTGCATTAGACAGAACAGCCACCTCTTCCAGTCTTGAAGGAGTGGCCTCGTGTAGGAGATAACTGTGAAACCCTGCCCTGACTCGATCATCTCTCAAAACACTGTAAGTGTTCAAGCAGCCTATTTTATTTTCATTGGTTCAACATACAAACATAATAGTCTTGAAGGGCCACAGCAGATGATCAGGAAGTGACCCCCCTGGGGGGAAGTTACAAAAAGTGGGCCTCTAGGTAAGTGCCAGAGCCCCCTTTCTGGGAGATGCTGGTGACCTGGAGCGAGATGGGGAAATAGCTCGATGGTGGTGAGCACCCAGCTTATGTCTCCTAAGAGCACATCTGGGCATCTTCTGACAAATCGGAAGCCTGCTCCTTACACCGAAGCTTCAGGATAAGCACGGAGGCCTCTTACACAGAAAGCTGGGGTGTGTTTTGGTCTGAGGTTTGTGCAGCACTCTGGGGATGGTGGCCAGCTAAGAACTGTAGCTCTGATTGCTTTGTTGGGGGAGTGGGTGAGTCTGAGCTCATGAGCCCCTGAAGACCCTTTCCTCAGTTTGCTATGGCCGTCTGGACACACGCTCCATTGGCTTCCCAAAGCTAGATGTTTAGTGTGCTCATTTCTCAGGTGGTCTTTAAAGGCTGGGGTGCCGCCATGGGGGTCCAACCTAATTTGCTCCTCAGGAGAAGCTCTGAGTTTTGAATTTCCTTCTGATGGTGAGTTAACTGTGTTGGGGCTGGATTTGTGCCAAGAGTGTGTCCCAGCCTCTTCTGCCTTCTTTGATGCTGGCCTTCTTTTATTGGCCCAATGGATAGGAGTCATTCAGATCACTGTAGGAGTTTTTTCCTAGAGGAAATTGTTGCATACGCAGCTGTAGATCTGGTGTTTCCATGGTACGAGGCGAGCTGATCTTGTCTACATCACCACCCTGAACCAGAACTCACTGTCTTGCTTTTTAAGAGTTTGGATGCAGTTTCTGGACCTGTATCTTTTATTTCTCATTATGATTGGAATTAACAGTCATAACCATTTGAATACTATGGTTTTAGAACTGGAGGAGACCCAGAAGTTGTCTATCCAATCCAACTTCCATCCCTTTCCTAACCACAGTTTGCGTCATTTTAATAATAGGAAGCTTCAGAGTGCCATGCTGCATTAATGCCCAGCTCTGAGAAACCAGATCCACTCATCAGTCTCAGTTCTGCTTTCTATAAGAACGTGAAAAAGGAAATGCCGCCTGGGAGGAAGGACTACTAGTATTTACTGTGAGTATATTGGGTCTCAGAGACTGTAAGAGCTTCTCCAGTTCTCTGCACCACTTTCCTGTTCCAAGATTTATGGGCACTACATTCTCTGGTGGTGTCATCTCCCTTGCCAGGCACGCATATTTTAACATGTCTTAATTTGCTGTTATGATGACTAACATCGTAATCAAACTGTTGACTTTTTTCTGAATAATTGGTGGCAATTTAGACTTGATGAAATATAGTATATGGATCTGTACTGTCAATGTTTATCCAAATGGAAACCTGAGGTAGGAAGTGTTAGCCTGGGTCTTTGGGGAGGTGAAGCTATAAAATATTCACCCATCCCGAAGTCTCAGTCATTGCAGCATCAAATCTAATGCCCCAAAGCACATCCCGGGAGAATATAAACTAAGGACTGATACGGAAACAATACAGCAACCAGCAGGTCGTCACGGCTCTCAGGGAGAGCTCAAGAAGGGGGGGCAGGATCACAGAGACAAATGTTTCAAGGAGGTGAAGCGATGGAGGGAACAGGGCTTTTGAGTTGTTAAAGAGCTTGAATGTGTTTGTACTACAAAGGAAACGAATTGAGACAAAGATACTGGAGAGAGTTCAGTTCAGTTGCTCAGTCATGTCCGACTCTGCGACCCCATGAATTGCAGCATGCCAGGCCTCCCCGTCCATCACCAACTCCTGGAGCCTACTCAAACTCATGTCCATTGAGTCGGTGATGCCATCCAGCCATCTCATCCTCTGTTGTCCCCTTCTCCTCCTGCCTCAATCTTTCCCAGCATCAGGGTCTTTTCCAATGAGTCGGTTCTTCATATCAGGTGACCAAAGTACTGGAATTTCAGCTTCTGCATCAGTCCTTCCAATGAGTATTCAGGACCAACTCTTTGGGACCCTGTGGACTATTCAGTTCATGGAATTCTCTAGGCCAGAATACTGGAGTGGGTAGCATTTCCCTTCTCCAGGGGATCTTCCCAACCCGGGGATCGAACCCTGGTCTCCAACATTGCAGGTGGATTCTTCACCAGCTGAGCCACCAGGGGACCATGGAGAGACTTAGTGACCCCTTGAGAAAGAGAGAAGGGGCTGCAGGCAAGGAGGGGAGAGTGTGTTTGTTAGGAGGTAGACAGGAAGGGGGTCTTCGTTATTTCCTGCAAGGCACCCTCAGTTTTCTCTTTAAGGACAAGGCAAGGCTTTCTGCATACAGTGGGGAGAGTAGCAACAAGGGAGTGCAAGGTGTTTGGGGCTGATGAAGGGGGAGGGCCTCCACTCACCCCAGACTAGCTCAGCTGACGCTGGGACTCTGTCTGACAAGGGCTGGCAACGCAGGGCACTTCAATTGTGTTCAGAACCTTCATTCCTTCAGTAAGTTGATACTTACTGAATATTGATTATTGATAAGTAATATTGATAAGTATCAATTACTTTAAAAAATAATATATATCGTGGCTGATTCATGTCAATGTACGGCAAAAACCACTACAATATTGTAATGGAATTAGCCTCCAATTAAAATAAATAATAAAAAAAATAAACATCTTTAAAACTTCAGTTTCTTTGGCAAGACGTGCTAGGGTATAGATAGTGCTTAAAAATGCTTTTTTTTCTAAATAGACCCCAAGCAGAAACTAAATGACTAAGAATGCACTGCTCCTGTAATCTCCAAGCTCACTTATCATCTATTTACTGTGCTGCTGGGGGCTTCCCTGGGGGGCTCAGATGGTAGAGAGTCTTCCTGCGGTGCAGGAGACCTGGATTGGATCCCCGAGTCAGGAAGATGCCCTGGAGGAGGAAATGGCAACCCACTCCAGTACTCTTGCCTGGAAAACCCCATGGACAGAGGAGCCTGGCGGGCTACAGTCCACGGGGGTCACAAAGAGTCGGACACGACTGTGCTTTGAACTTACTTGTGTGGAATCCTTGGCTTTCCCGCCGTTCCTGGGCGCTTTGGCATTGGCAGCAGGCTTCTTGTCTTTGTCCTAGAGCAGAGGAAATGTAATGAGGCTGCTGCGGTCAACACTCCATCTAGCAATTAACTGCTGCTGCAAGCAAATCGATCCAGACTCTTCTTTTTAGGAGCCTGGACTCTCCAGTTTAACTAAATAATGAAAAATTGGGTATTTCACAGTCATGACTTTTTGAACCACAGTGAACGTACACAGAGATGTTCATGGTGGGAGGGTAAGAAGGAAAACAAATGAGGAAAAGGTGACTCATGCTGACATCCTGCCAGTTTTCATGATGCACTCAGACTGTATTTTGCTCATCAAAATAGAGCCTGGTTCTATCAGGACTGGTTTCTGTGTGCCAAGAGGACACTGCTTTCAGAGCGATGGAAGAATAATCTAACGGTGGAAGCAACCAGCGCCAGCTAGGGCCAGTCACATACAAAAGTGAAGTCCATTCACCAAAAAGGCATTATTTATCAGGTTCCAGGAGTTGAGAAATAGGATGGTGATGTGATCTAGAAATTAAATCACCCAAGAGAGGGAAGACCGACAATTCAGTGACTGGGAACTACCGTTAACACCCGCTGAAACCGTGCATTTTAATTCTTCTGAAAATAACAATGGAGGACACTCATTTCACTCTTCCTTCTATTTGATGGCTTACACTTTTCTTTTTTTTTCCACTCGCATTTGATCTCCTGCTATGCACCGCGCATTTAGCTGATGCTGACCACAGAGCTGCCAGACACATGACTGCCATCTAAAGCCCACAGCTCAGTGGGGTGAGGCCCAGGACAGGTAACTCACAGCGCGGGGACGGCAGGGGACAAGCCCCTGACCTGGGACGGGAGGAGCAGGCAGGGAGAGCTTCCTGGAGCAGCTGATGCTTGAACGGTCCCTGAGGGGTAAGGAGGAGAGCCGCTCAGGCCAGAAAAGGGGAGGAGGCCCAGAGGGCAAGCGGCATGGTGTACAGAGTGAAGGACTGCTCTCCTTTTAAATGACCACAGATAGAGCATTACTGTCACACACCAATACAGCGTGGCAATCAAAAATGGTGGCTATGGAGCTTATAAAGCAACATGGAAAACATTTATGATATACCCTTAAGAAATGTATTATATATAGAATCTACGTATAATTATGTTAAAAAAAAACGCCAAGAGGAAAAAGCCCTGTACCTTTGCTGTGTTTGCTGAGGTTTCTGTAGCCGAGGGACAGCTGTCAAAATCCCCTGAGAGGGCGTCAATGGGGTCCTGGGCACCTGCAGGCTTCTGAGATCAGGAGGAATAACCATCAAGATTTGCGTTTGGGAAAAGCAAGGGAAAGATGTTTGTGGGCCATTTCCCCACATCTCTGAAAATGTGTTTGTTCAGAGCAAAGCCTTGCTGACATTCTTTTCCTAACAAACTACTATAAGAGAGAGATAAAACAGGAAAATCTTGACAGCTCTACTTTCCTCCACTCTGTTATACAAGGTGCTTAGTATTCTCTGAGCTTTGATGTTCTAATCTGGAAAATGGAACTGCCTACGTTGAGTGGCTCTTGGGAAGACAGAAGTAATATACTCTTATGTGCATGCCTTGGCATCAGACCAAGCACAAAGAAGGCATTCACTGAATTTTAGATTTCTAAAATGTGAAAGCTGCAGCTAGAGGTTAGAACAATCTTTTCTGGAAACACACAGCTATGGTATTTACCTCTGATGCCTTGGGTTTCTTTGATGCCTTTGGCTTCCCTGGTGTGCCCTTAGAAACAAAGCAGACTATTGGTTAAACAAACTTTTGTAAAGGGTTCACTTAGGCGTAAGTCAGTATTTACATGATCTTTTATCCAGTGGAGTTTAGTCAGCCTCCTGCATCTGTGGCTTCCACACTGGCAAATTCAACCAACCAGCAGATTGAAACTATTTGGGGAAACAGAATTCTAGGAAGTTCCAAAAAGCAAATCTTGAATTTGCCACGTGCCAGCAACTACTTACGTAGTACTTACACTGTACTAGGTATTCTGAGTAATGCAGAGATGATCTAAAGTATCCTCAGATTTTGGTCTCTGGGGGTCTTGGAACTAACCCCCCTAGATACCAAGGGACAACTGTATACTTTGCATAACTGATAAACCTGGGTCCATATTATCTCTTCACCAGCTTTGATTAATGACTACCTCATAACTATTTCAATAGCCTTGGGGAAAATGCAAGGATGAGTCTGTTCCTGGAAGTGAAAGAAATACTATTTTAGCAACTCTGTCACTGCTTAACTCTAGTTAAAACATCACAAAAAGTAACTTGTGTTTTTCTGTCTTGTTTGCTATTTTACTATATATGTATCTACCATAGCTTATTACACTTAAAAAGGATTTGAGGCACTGAAATGGTCTATAGGTGAATTTTTTTCAGTGAGGATTACAAGGACAACTCATCAGGGATTTTTCCCATCTGCAAAGGCCAGGACACTAAATAATACATTTGCCAAAGAACACAACAGGGTCAGATGGGACCGTCAAAGCAGGGGGCATTCTAGCAGGGTGCACAAGCGCTGTCATGAATACTGAATGCAAGCGAGGGGAACTGATTTCTGTAACAGAAGACATTGAAGCTGATAGTACTCTATACAGTCAAACCCCTCACATGCATCAGTGCAGAAAGAGAAGCTGTCATTTGGACTTTCTTGTTTTTATCTGATGAACAGATCTGGAAAGGGTTATTTAACCTCTAGAAGCCAAACAGGAAGAGGCAGGGAACAGAGCAGGTTGACCAGGAGAGAGACAAAGACAGATAAACTTCTTGACGATACTGTTAGCAACAGAGCTTTTGATTGGGAATATGGTTTTGCCTGTCTTCACTCTCAACAGCACTGGGGTGGTGGTGTAGGAGAAGAAAGAGAGACAGCAGGCCTTGGGTTATATTTGTCCCATGAATTATTTCCATCCTAGCTCTTTTTCTGTTCTTCAACAGAGAGACTCTGCTTCAGGTAAGATTACAAATATCATTCATTGTTATTACAGACTTTTCTTGCAGAGAATTCATCTGTGTACCTGCCTGGGAATCACTGTTAAGCATCAGTGAGTGATGGAACATTCTTCAATTCTCTTTACGCCACAGTGCCCAGCACAGTAAACATCCAATGGTACTGGCTCAAATAAATATTAAACAGAATTCTAGACAGTCTGCTCAGTGGGGACAGATTAAAAGTGCCAGTCATGTCACATTTTTATGCTATTGTTACAGTGTACTTTCTGTTCATTTCAAGTGAGGTTTGAATCTCAAAGCTCTGGAGTATAGATCCAACCTGGACACCACCCTCATTTACCTCCTTGTCATCATCCAAAAGATGCTGGTAGGCAGGTGGGATGGTGTCATCTCTTTCTCCCAGCTTGTCTCTGTGTTCAGCTTTGGCTTTTTCCTGTAAACAATGAACATACCTAATTACTATTCAGTTCTACCTTCAAAAAAAGCACATTTGAAAATGCAGCATTCAGCATTTATTGGCTATTTCTGAGGCAAAACATAGTCCCTTTAAGTTTTATAAGCAACAGAGCAACAATGCCAACATATTTCAGTTGATGGAAAAAAGTAAACCCAGTGCTTCTGTTTGTCATCCCACACCTATGAATTTTCTACTTGCATTTTAAATTGAAATAAGCTTTTAAGTAATTATTCTCAGAACTATCAGTCAGTTCAGTTGCTCAGTCGTGTCCGACTCTTTGTGACTCCATGGACTGCAGCATGCCAGGCCTCCCTGTCCATCATCAACTACCGGAGTTTACTCAAACTCATGTCCATCGAGTTGGTGATGAATTCTCCAGGTAAGAATACTAGAGTGGGTTAACAATCCCTTCTCCAGGGGGTCTTTCCAACCCAGGTCCCCTGCATTGCAGGCAGATTCTTTACCATCTGAGCCACCAGGGGAGCCCTCAGAAACTATGGAAGGAGATAAAACCCAAGAGGAAAAAGTTTCTTTTAATGTGAGTGTCACTTTCTAAAGTAAAACGTCAAGGTGCTGTACCTTGGCACTTAGAGGCACTATTGACAACTCTGACTCTTTATCAGGAGCCACCGTGAAGGGACGTGCTGCCTGCTATGTTGCAGGTGAGCAAACACCCGCTGCTGAGTAAGCAGCGCCCGCCTCCAGCATCCCTGCCTCAGCATGGTGAGGCTGGCCTCTTGGTCCCTGGATTCAGGGAAAGCCCTGCCCCCCCCCCCCCGACCCGCTCCAAGGGGTGGGGATTAGATTTTATTTTTCTGCATCATTATAATTTCATTTTTCAAATACAGGTTAAGTTCATCTCGACATTCCTGTAACAAGAGTAGAATCAAGACCTAAGGATTCTTTGAAACACCCTGCCTTGGAGACAAAGATTTGGGTGGTCTGTTACCTTTCTGGTAGTTCCAAGCTTGATGGACTGTTAGTATATTATTCAGTATAAATACGTACTTCTACATGTTGTACAAGACATGCAGTGTTAAGAGTCTGTGTCTTGTAGACACTTCTGCAGTGAACTCCTGGTCTAACGCTTCCTTCGTGTAGGAGTTTGCACATAGTTTCGATGGCAGGGAGACTGCTAGGGAAGCCTCTGTCACTACACACACAAGTTGTCTACCTAAAATACATATATCTGTACCAGATATATGACAAGATATATCTGGTTTTACTGCCAGATAAAACCAAAAAAAGTCAATGTGAGAAGAGAATAAAATTAACAGAGCAAGACCGTGCTTTTCCATCATCACAAAGTCTCATCTCACAAATATGATGTTTGCCCAAATCTGTGCTGTAACACAGTCCTCAGAGAGGAAACGGAGACACCACATAGACCACAGCGTAGAAAAAACTTAGGCTGTAGTTATCCAACTGTTCACTGACCCCAGGCAGTGAAAGTGAAAGCTGCTGAGTCGTGTCCGACTCTGCGGCCCCATGGACTGTACAGTCCATGGAATTCTCCAGGTCAGAATACTGGAGTGGGTAGCCTTTCCCTTCTCCAGGGGATCTTCCCAACCCAGGGACCGAACCCAGGTCTCCCGCATTGCAGGTGGATTCTTTACCAGCACAGCCACCAGGGAAGCCTGACTCCAGGCAAGTCGGGGCTATAGAAACTTTAAATGACTTTTTCTTGTACCTTGACTTTATCCTCTACGGGTTTATTCTCATCTGGATCAGGCTGTCTTTGCCCGAGACTGTCAGAAAGTTGATCCAGGGCATCGTCAAGTTCTTTGTTGTCACGCTGCTAAACAATACATCCAAATTAGTCACTGGTTAGCCACATCAGGTCACCTCCAGCGCCAACAGTGCCTCTAAGACTTCCGTAAGCTTGGGGGGTTTCCCGAGGGAGGGGGCAGGTGGGCAGAGGTGCTGGGTCTTCCTTTCCTGTGGGGGGCTCTTTGTCCCTCACTTTTCACTCAGCACCTCTCTGTACCTGTCTACCCTGCCCCACCCCGAGATGCCTTTCTCTTCCTAGAAAATAGGTCCCTTCCTAAAAAGATGGGGTTCTTGGCCTGATTTTCTAGAAGTCTTATGATGCCTTCAATACATGTAATATTATGTTCCCTGCAAAGTCACTAAGTTTACTCTTTGATTCCCAAGTGGATTGCTGTAAATAAAGCTTTATACCTAGTTTTAATAATGGCTTCAAGTAAAACATTAACTAAAACTAAAAACTCTGATCGGGGAAGTGATGGGAAAGGTATTCTAAAACATACTGTGAAAGGCAAAAAGGCTTTTGATTGTGGATGTTTCTTAATAGCCTCAATCACTATTCTAGGGGCTCCTAAAATCTGAGTACTAAGGACTGAAGTGTAAACGGCAGCCTGGCTATTAATGAGTCTTCCTTCTGTTGCACGGGGACTTTTGTCACTGTGGGTGTGTGTGCAGACATACACACAGATATGAGGAGAAAGGGCATTTTACTGGTTTTAAGTGCTTCAGGAGAGCCCAGGATTATAGCAGCTAATGGTGGCGCTGACTACAGCTAGATCTGGGCTTTGTCATTTGTGCCTCTGGATATTTTCAGATGGTCCCACAACTGACCCAACAGGAGGAAAATTCACTCAGAATCTCAGAGTGCAGCAGGAAGCAAGCTTTGATGCTACATCAAAAGGAAAGGGAGCCTAGCTGACTTCACTCAAGCTACTCCATCTCCAGCTAGCTCACGAAGCACTTCTATCAACCCAAGGAGCTGGGTGTCTGGTTTAGGGCAATCTCTCTATCTTTTGATGTGCTGTGGTCTCCTGGATCATGTATAATTTGGTACCGTTAAGAAAATTAATCAAGGAAGTCTGGAAAAGCTTTGGTCCCACAGTCTTGCCTTAGAACGTGTAAATAATTAAAATGATATTGACACTGAGGTTTTCTATTACTAGCATGAAAATGACAAGTTTTTACTGGTATGACTGGGAGGAAAACAATGCTTTTCTACCAGGAGTCTGTGATTTGGTGGGCAGAGAGAAGCTCAAACACTGAGCAATTCCTTAAAGTAAACCTGAGATTAAATAATAAGTAGTACTCACAGCATGTATCAGGAAAAATACAAAGGAAGGAAACATTATCAAGAACACGAAACAATTTAAAAAATCTGAATATATACACAATGTGCATTATTGCACTTCAATTCTAATAAAGCAACAATATGTTGAGCTCTTTCACTGTGTGTAAAATACTTTCACAGGTATTGTTTTATTTAATCATTTTAGATAGTCTGTCATCTCCCTATCTCCCCAGTCTTACCTCTTCTGAAACAGAAGGTGACTGTGGTAACAATTTTGTTGACTTTCTAACTGCTGTTCAAAAAACAAGTACTTATAAGCCATGTTGCTTACCGCAGTGTCGGGGGGTGGACCAGCCGCCTGGGTGGTTGGAGCTGGGGTTTGGGAAACCACTTCAGAGACGACAGCTGAAAGTTTAGCATCTTCAAATTGCTTTTGTAAGAAACAATAACAAAAAAAAGATCTGACCCATAATATGTTGTAGCATATTATGCCCACAATGCCACTACTTAAATAAAACCCTCGGGACAGCTTTATCATGACTGTGCTCTTGATCTAAATGGAAGCACAGCGACAGAGCAGCTTAAGAGCCATTTTATTCTACTTCCTACTCCAAGCATTATTTTATACAGTTTCCTATTTTCTCTTCCTGCTTATTATCCTAAATAGTCAATAAGCTAATTATTTCAGAGTTTTATGGCTTATACATTTCTTGTTGCACATTTAGGTTGATGGCAGGGTTTTAGCTTTGCTCGTTATAATAAGTTGCTCTGAAGTGACTCTCTTTATGGTGCTAGCTGTATTGTACCAAATACCCTCTCAAAAGCTGCTAGAAGATCATGCAGCTAAAGGCAATGAATGGGTATGCCTGTCTCCCATAGCCTTGCTTGCCTAAATTAGACACTTCTCCTATTTTTAATTCTGTTCATGTATCGGTATAAAATATAAGTGCTACTATTGCTTTAATATTTGGCATGCAGGATGAGGTTTCAGTTGTATCATTTTTTTCTTAATGTTAAGGAGTGTATTATTCTATAATTTTTCTGAAATAATGATGTTTTTCACTTTAAAGATATACTAAATCTGTCATTGATGGGTTTTTCTCCCATTGGCATTTGGCTTTGCTTTCTGAATCAGAACTTTACTTTTTAACATTACTGTATAATAAATCCTGGCACTTAGTTGGATTAATCTTCCCTAAAAATACTAAAAAAAAAAAATGCTTTTCAGTATTTTTTTCATATTTTTATGCATTTATTTTTCAAATATATTGGACAGTTCAATTTTAAATTCTCTTTTCATATGTATACTTGATAGAATGTATGTTCGTTGGTTCTATTAGTCACACTTGAAAACACCCACGGAGCTGGACCAATATTTCCTGATGGAATACATCTTTAACGGCCACAGTGGGTTGAGGGCCACTAATTTCATGACTGTGTCCTCATCTCTCGTGTCAGATTCTAAGCCACAAGTTTCCACTTATTTCTGCTACGCTAAAAGGTGAGGCAACCAGGACTCAGGAGACTTACAGGCGATGACATGTCTGAGGGGACAGTGAAGTCCTCGGACAGAGCATCCAGGAGGAAGTCTTCACTCACGGGCTGCAAAGAACCAGGAGATGTGTCAGCAAACACTGCCTCGTCAGTGTCCTCTCCAAAGTACTGTCACTGCGTATATGCTGATCAGCTCAAAGTACTGTCACTGCGTATATGCTGATCAGCTCATTATACAGAATGCTCTGCCCTTCCTGAATTAACCATCAGGACCAAAGGAGAAAGATACACTCGGAGAAAAACTGGCTTGCTTACTGGGAGCGGTTCTTTGACCTCTTTTGGCAGCAGTGGTTTTCCGTCTTTATCCTATGCAGGTGGAGAAAAACATGGCATTGAGTCATTTCACATGTATCCTAAGTGTGCACTCTGCAAACAGCATAAGAGGTTGACAGGTTATATCTGATGATGTACATTAGGAAGTCGATTCTTCATTCTAGGAAACAGATCCTCTCACCAGGAAATATGCTCTGATCAGCTTGTGTCAAGAAACAGCTGGCTGACATCCCCTAGGCATGGGGGCTGCTAATGGGGCTTGCCAACTCCAGAAGCACACGGAACACAGCTACTGTGGTGTGTGGCACAGCGTGCACGGGACACTGAGGGGACACGGGGATGAGACCCTCGCTGGCCTGGGGAGTGGGCTTTGCACAAGTTGCCTGGGAAAAGCTGGTTAACTTTAGAGGCAATGCCTTCAACCAGTATGCGCCGACTCTGTGCCGAGCATCTATACCAAGCCCTGGGAAAATTCACCCTAGGGGTATAATGCTCAAAACTTACGGTTCAGATGATGCCAACCTTCAAATGACCCTAAGTGCCACTTCTGAGTAACAGGACAAAATCAATAAAGCATTTGGGGCTCTTTAGTAAAAGGCGATTTATAAATAAATGGTAAAATCCCATTTATCTACACATGCAAAAATGTGTAAGCACAAGGTTCTCTGTTTGTACAACAGTTAACCCTTGGAAAACTGCAGGGGTTGGGGCACGGACGTCCCAAGCAGTTGAAAAAATCCATGTGTAATTTACACCTGGCCCTAGGTATCCTCAATTGCACATCCGTGGATTCAATCAACCACGGAAGGTGCAATGCTGTAGTGTTTACTAGTGAAAAAAGCCTGAACAGAAGGGGACCCAGGCAATTCAAACCTGTGTCACTCCAGGGTCAACTGCACAGTTCCCCTGAGATACTGGCCAAAGTGGTTTTCGCTTGCTCTGTGAACATTCAAGGAGATGCAGAGGTCAAGGGTATCACCAGCTTCCCTTTAGACAAAGCACTTTCCCCCCATTTCCACGTCCTCTGAGTCCTCACGGACCTTCTGATCACTGTCCAGTTAGGAGGGGAACAGAGTCCGGGTCTCGCTCTCTGCCACCCCTTAGCTGCCAAGGCAGTAAATCTGCCAAGGGATACATAGGAGCGGGGATGGGGGCACATCTGCTCCACACTCACACTGAGATCGCCCTGAGACCGGAAGGGGAAACCTGCAGTCTACCTTGGGGAGCTGACTCTCCTGAGCAGGCCTGATGGGAGCAGTTGAAGAATAACACAAGATCTAACCCTGAGATCAAGCCAGCACCTGCACATGTTATGAAGCAATAGGTAATTCACAATGGGTGAGATCCACAGTTGAGGATGAAACAACCACAGAATAAAAGTGGTCAGGAAAGCTAATCAGCTACATTCTTAGAAACTGCGATGAAAATCCAGCAAAGGGAGAGAGAAAGTAACCAACCTCCAACCTCCTACTCTAAAGAGAGTTACAGCCACTTGACCAGCTTTACTGAATGCGACAGCTACTTACGGGCCACATGGTCTAAGGATCTTATAAACAAACAAGTCCAGAAATGCCATGGTTTTGACTGATTGTGAAATGCAGAAAAGCAGCAGACTAAAGGGACCCAGCATCATAAACTTTCAATCAGGGAGAGCTCAGTATAGTTCCCATCTTTGCCACAAAAATGGACTAGTGCAAATCGATGAATACAAAGAGTATCAATTTGATTTTCCTGCATTATTCATGAAGTCTGGTAGAATATTCTGTTAAGTAGTGGTCTCTCCCATATCACTTATTCTGTACAATCTGTATATTCAAAATAAAGGAAATGCGTCAATTTTATCACTGGCTATATTGAGTTGCTCAGTCATGTCTGACTCTTTGTGATCCTATAGACTGTAGCCTGCCAGGCTCCTCTGTCCATGGGAATTCTCCAAGCAGGAATCCTGGAGTGGGATGCCATTTCCTCCTCCAGGGGGTCTTCCTGACCCAGGAATTGAACCTGGGTCTTCTGCATTGCAGGCAGATTCTTTACCAACTGAGCCACCAAGGAAGGCCATCTCACTTACTATATTTGTGTCAAATAGGCTATTTTTCAACATATATCTAAGTTTTGTAAATTCTTCCTCAGGAAGTGATGGGTTCTCAGATGGTAAAGCATCTGCCTGCAATGAGGGAGACCTGGGTTTGATCCCTGGGTCGGGAAGATCCCCTGGAGAAGGAAATGGCGACCCACTCCAGTATTCTTGCCTGGAAAATCCCATGGACAAAGGAGCCTGGTGGGCTACAGTCCATGGGGTCACAAAGAGTTGGACACGACTGAGCAACTTCTCTTTTGTTTGGTTTTCCTATCTATCTGTATAAAGACTTCCTGAGTTTTCTTTATTTCTGGTATTGTAACAAACCACGTTATCAGACAAGAAAATCTTAGACTTCTCTCACCTAAGGAAGGAGTGATAGGCCACTGAGGAATATTTTGGTTTTACAGCGCGTGTGCTAACAGGATGTTAGTTAACTAATACTACTCGATGTTTGAAATACTAAGAAACACGACTTTTATATCCTAGGTCTGTTCCCATGTCCCTTCTTCATGTACATGAAATTCAATATGAATGAAAATAAGTTAGAAAAAAAGATCCCGGCCTGCTTACCTTGGCCTCTTCTAATCTGTAATCAGGAGGAATTGTTTCTTCTTTTTCACCAAGTTTTTCACGATCCTCTTCTTTGGCTTTCTCCTGAATGAAAATTAAACAGTTTTCATTGTTAATACATCGTTCTCTGATAAAGTGGATGCCTGAGTGACTGAATCCGAGGTCAGTGAATCCATTGTGAGGTTCCCGCAGCAACTGCATCTTTGACACTGTATCCTCCCGGGTGAGCAGGCTCAGACACCACTGTTTTCAGGCTGCCGGGTTAAGGGGCAGCTGTGAGCAGTGGCAGGCAGTACCACTTCCCGCCTTAGTCCTTGGCGGTGGAAAATGCGTGGACAAGGTGAGACTCAGAACTCCGATATCTGCACGCCGGCCATCCCCTGCTGCAGCCAAACAGTGCTGCTCACTCATTTCGCTTATTAAACAGGACGTGCACCGTAACAGAGGAAGCCAGCTGGCCAAGTGTTGCACCAATTTTTTTTTTTAAACTGACTGCCTTATTTGGGGAGTTGGGATGACCAATGATAGCTCCTTTCTAGGAGTTTCTGAGGCGCCATTACCTTGACTTTATCCTCCACAGGCTTTCCGTCTTCTGGATCTGCTTCCTTTTTGCCCAGGCTTCCAGCCAAGGCTTCGACAGCATCATCTGGCACCATGCCCTTCTGAAAGCACAGCAGTGGGTATACTAAATAGGTGGTTAATTACGCCTTTTAAAAGAGACTCAACAAACAGCTCAGATGAGCATATCCTTCTTTCATGCCTAGATAAGAAGCACGTGTCATCTTTTCATAATTTGGAAAATCTACGGAATTAGAACCTAGGTTTAAAAAGCCTGACGTGTTAAAAATGAGGCAAGTTTCTTACATTAAACATTAAGAGTGTGCAATTTATAAGCCGGCACTGAGAAGCTTTTAAGATCTCACCAGCATTCTGGTTCAGAAGAAGGAAGCTCACTGGGTGGGAAGGACCGCAGAGAAGCCGAAAGCCAGGAAAGGAGAGGAGGATGGGACCTTCAGGCGACTGTCCCCGAGATGGCACAGGACAGAGGCTCAGGAAAGCCCTCGCGAGGACCTTCCTCCCAATGAAACGGCCAGGCCTGCCCCGGAGGCGAGGGCTCCGGCTGGGCCTGTAGGCACAGAAGCCTGTGTTCCCTGTGTGGCTTCTACTGGTCAGAGTGGACTCAGGCCAGTTCAGATGGTGGTCTGTGTGACCTACTAACCTGAGTGATACAGTGAGGGCAGTCTGCCTGTGGTCCAGCTGATGAAAATGAAATGTGTTCCCGATGATACACTAGTAACACTGGACACAGTGTTATTAAAAAAAAAAACTGGATGAACATAGAATGTAAATGGCATAAAGTGAAAATAAAGAATAAACTATGTTTGGGCTAAAAGATAGGACTAGAGCTGGCTTTTTTCAAACCACAGGTCACGACCCATATGTGAGCAGTGCTTAAATTAATTTAGCAGGTGGTAGTCAGGCCTATTTTTAATGAAGAATATAAAACTGAACGCATCATGCATATCAAGGATAAGTACCACTGACTATAAACTATTGTTGCTACTGTGTGGGTTGCAGAATTGATGAATTCCTCACAGTTGGTCTTGATCCAAAGTGTGAAAGCTCCAGAATTAAACAGTCTCAAAGATTATTCTTATCATAAAAGATACATGACCTCACATGGAGTACATATTGGAATAAAAGTGTCTTTCTGTTTTCTATAGCTTAGCTACCCTCCTAAGTAAGAAAACTTGTTCTGCTGCTAAGCTGCACCACAAAAGATCACCAGGGAATAAAGGCCAGTCAAGTGGGAAGGGATTTATCACCATCTAGTGGTTAGAATATTCATTGGAAAAGGACTGATGCTGAAGCTGAAACTCCAATACTTCGGCCACCTGATGCAAAGAGCTGACTCATTTGAAAAGACCCTGATGCTGGGAAAGACTGAGGGTGGGAGGAGAAGGGGATGACAGAGGATGAGATGGTTGGATGGCATCATCAACACGATGGACATGAGTTTGAGTAAACCCCAGGAGTTGGTGATGGACAGGCAGGCCTGGCGTGCTGCAGTCCCTGGGGTCGCAAAGAGTCGGACACAACTGAGCAACTGAACTATACTGAACTGAACTGAGTGGTTGGAAACTCCATAGATTTTTTTTTTCCCAGGGACAACAAACATCCCTGAGGTATTCAACCTGCTTGCGATTGTAACCAAGAGTTGCTGGGGTCCCCAAGTCTTAGCCAGGCAATCTCATTGCTACCTGATCCCAGTCACTCGCTCACACTTTTGTTTTCTAGTCTTTGCTGCAGAATCTTTGGAAACCAACGCTGCCTTTGTCTGTGTCCTCTGACTCCAGAAATAAGTGAAATGGAGTTAGAAAAGCTAGGAGAAGCAGCAGTCTTAATAACTAACAGATCTAGAAACAGGACTACGGACGAAAGCTTCTATCTCCATTGTCAAGTTCAGAACTAGAACTCAAATCTCCAGATGTGCTCAATAAACTTTCTTTTTCTACCACAAGAATGCAGAATGCAGACGGCAGACACTCATCCCCGCCCTCCCGGCTTACTGTCTGCTCTTGCTCACTCATCCCCCAGCCTCTCTGGAGTTCTCTGACCTTTATCACATTCTACGCCTATTCTTTCTGGCTCCCATGGGCGTCACAACCCCAGAAATGCCAAGTGACCTCAGCGGTGATAAACTCCGCACCCGTGGGAACCAGAGTTGGTGGAGTAGAGGCCCAGGAGCGGGGTAAGAGAATGGAAAATCCAGGGCTCTACTTTTCCCCCTTTCCAATGCTTGACTCTCTCTCTATACAGTCAAGGTAAAGCTGGAAAGGAGCTAACTTGCTCTTAAGCCCTGGCAGTCACAGTCGACAGGACAGGGAGTGGCCATATGTTTAGGTACCAGAGTTCTGCACTGGAATGTTGGCCACTGTCTTTATGACCCCAACCACAGCCTCTGTGCCTACCTCCTTCACAGTCTCTGCCAAGATTCTCTCTCCCACTTCTGTTCTTTACCACTCTGGCCTGACTCCCACGATGTCACAGTTTTTGGAGGGTACCCTGAGAATATCCCATGCAAAAAAGGAGGTCACGCCCTGTCCAAGGCAGGAGGGAGACTGTGACGGGATTTGCCGATGGCACCCAGGATTCCCTGGCAGGAAGCAGCCACGCGGGATACCCAGGACACACGTCCCATACCTTCCTCAAGGCTCTCTTCTCTCAATCAACTAAATGCACAGACCCCAGTATCCCAAGGGCTCCACATCTCTGTGCTGCCTGTCCTGGGCTCACTGGTCTCCCCAGGAAACAGTGCTGCTCCCACTTCTCAGCAGGATCCTGTCCTCCACATGCAAGCCTTTCCAAGTTCCTCCAGGAAAGGAGTTGCTTCACCCACTTTCCTTTTACCATAAGAGAAAGATCAAACTGAACTGTGAGCGTCAGACCTGGCCCATATCCACACTAGACTTGGAGGGGACTGAGTGCAGGTACCCCATCTTAAACCTAGCTGAGGTTCTGAAGGGTGAAGTGAATTGCTCAAGGTTCATTCAAAGTTCATTTTTCTCATTAATGAGAGACGTGATCAGAACAGACTTCACAGTGTCCTCATGAAAATGTAATGAGAAGACACTGCAAAGCACCAAGAAGAAGTTAGTTATTGAGCCTGTAGATTCACTAAGTCTGTAGTGAGGAAGCATAGTTCCATCAGCTGGTATCCTCGGAGTCAGAATCTATCTGCTAATGAAAACAGAACACGCTGAATTCAGAAGAACACAGATTCAACCAGTTAAAGAGCACCCTTCATGCAAAAGTCAGAACATCAGAGACACAAAAAGAAGAAAGGGAAAGGAAGTGACTCCATCTGTCACCATTCAGTTGGGACAGAAAAGGAGTCATGATGATAAAGGTTCTTCTGTGTTTTTCTGTGTATACAAAGGATTCTGTGTATACATAGAACAACTATACAAAAAAGATCTTCAGGACCCAGATAACCACGATGGTGTGATCACTCACCTAATCCAGACATCCTGGAGTGTGAAGTCAAGTGGGACATAGGAAGTATCACTACGAACAAAGCTAGTGGAGGTGATGCATTTCCAGCTGAGCTATTTCACATCCTAAAAGATGATGCTGTGAAAGTGCTGCACTCAATATGCCAGCAAATCTGGAAAACTCAGCAATGGCCACAGGTCTGGAAAAGGTCAGTTTTCATTCCAATCCCAAAGAAAGGCAATGCCAAAGAATGCTCAAACTACCACACAATTGCACTCATCTCACACGCTAGTAAAGTAATGCTCAAAATTCTCCATGCCAGGCTTCAACAGTACGTGAATTGTGAACTTCCAGATGTTCAAGCTGGATTTAGAAAAGGCAGAGGAACCAGAGATCAAATTGCCAACATCTGCTGGATCATAGAAAAAGCAAGAGAGTTCCAGAAAAACATCTACTTACTTCTGCTTTATTGACTACACCAAAGCCTTTGACTGTGTGGATCACAACAAACTGCAAAATTCTTAAAGAGATGGGAATACCAGACCACCTGACCTGCCTCCTGAGAAATCTGTATGCAGGTCAAGAAGCAACAGTTAGAACTGGACATGGAACAATGAACTGGTTCCAGATTGGGAAAGGAGTACATCAAGGCTGTATACTGTCACCCTGCTTATTTAACTTAAATTCAGAGTACATCATGCAAAATGTCAGGCTGGATGAAGCACAAAATGGAATCAACATTGCCGGTAGAAATATCAATAGCAGATGATACCACCCTTATGGCAGAAAGTGAAGAACTTCAGAGCCTCTTGATGAACGTGGAAGAGGAGAGTGAAAAAGTTGGCTTAAAACTCAACACTCAAAAAATGAAGAACACGGCATCTGGTCCCATCACTTCATGGCAAATAGATGGGGAAACAATGAAACAGTGAGAGACTTTATTTTTTTTGGACTCCAAAATCACTGCAGATGGTGACTGCAGCCATGAAGTCACCAAGCAACCAAGGATGCTTGCTCCTTGGAAGAAAAGCTGTGACAAACCTAGACAGCATATTAAAAAGCAGAGACATTACTTTGTCGACAAAGGTCCATCTAGTCAAAGCTATGGTTTTTCCAGCAGTCAGGTAGGGATGTGAGAGTTGGACTACAAAGAAAGCTGAGCCCCAAAGGATTGATGCTTTTGAACTATCGTGGTGGAGATGACTCTTGAGAGTCCCTTGGACTGCAAGGAGATCCAACCAGTCCATCCTAAAGGAGATCAGTCCTGAGTGTTCATTGGAACACTGGATGTTCATTGGATGTTGAAGCTGAAACTCCAATACTTTGGCCACCTGATGCAAAGAACTGACTTATTGGAAAAGACCGTGATGCTGGGAAAGATTGAAGGCAGGAGGACAAGGGGACGACAGAGGATGAGATGGTTGGATGGCATCACTGACTTGATGGACATGAGTTTGAATAAACTCTGGGAGCTGGTGATGGACAGGGAGACTGGCATGCTGCAGTGTGTGGGGTCGCCAAGAGTCAGACACAACTGAGAGACTGAACTGAACTGATGATAAAGGTGCAGACTTTTCCATCAGGACAGTTAATAAAAAGTACTTCTGGCTGTTGGTGGGACTCCAAATCAGCTTGAAAGACACAGGAAAGTGAAGAAGCATGATTATCCACAGTAGCTGAGGAGCTAGAATGCATGTCAAGAGGTTAAAAACAAAACCACCTGAAATAGTGTAAACATTTAAATCTAGCCTGAGTGTCCAGCTCCTCCTTGGAGCCCAAGGCGAAGGATAATACAACTATCTAAGATTTAATTTTTATCTTGCTAGAACAAGGTAATACAATGGTAATACACAGCAGCAAGGGCAGGGGAGGAAGAAGAGTGCTTTCTCAAGACATTTCTCAGCGTCCAGAGGGTCACTCACCGTGGGAGCTGCCGCGGGCGGAGCCGACTGCACGGAACACATGGAAGTCCGAGGCACGTCCTCTGCCACGGGCGCGGGGGCGGCGGCCGGAGACGCCTGCAGAAAGAAGCAGGCACAATGGAGGATTTCTGAAATACCCAGTTATTAAAATGCAGCAACAGTGAACCAACAGTAGTCTGCTACCCTACCTGCGGTGAGGATGATTTCCTTGAATGCCTAAGGATTTTGAGCAGTGAATAAGTCAAGGCACGCTAAACCTCTCCAGCTACACTACTTCAACTTGGTTTTACCTCTTACCTTAGGTAGGTTACTTAACCTCTCTGAGATGCAGTTTCCTCATCTGCAAAGTGAGAACAATGACAGTACCTACATCTCAAAGCCTTTAATGAGATAAAACATGCTAAGTGCTCTGCATAGTACAGTAAGCTCAAAGATTGTTATCATTTCAGTTCGGTCGCTCAGTCGTGTCCGACTCTTTGCGACCCCATGAACCGCAGCACGCCAGGCCTCCCTGTCCATCACCAACTCCTGGAGTCCACCCAAACCCATGTCCATTGAGTCGGTGATGCCATCCAACCATCTCATCCTCTGTCGTCCCCTTCTCCTCCTGCCTTCAATCTTTCCCAGCATCAGGGTCTTTTCCAATGAGTCAGCACTTCTCATCAAGTGGCCAAAGTATTGGAGTCTCAGCTTCAACATCAGTCCCTCCAATGAACACCCAGGACTGATCTCCGTCAGGATGTTCTCCTTGAATGGTTGGATCTCCTTGCAATCCAAGGGACTCTCAAGAGTCATCTCAAACACCACAGTTCAAAAGCATCAATTCTTTGGTGCTCAGCCTTCTTTATAGTCCAACTCTCACATCCATACATGACCACTGGAAAAACCATAGCCTTGACTAGATGGATCTTTGTTGGCAAAGTAATGTCTCCACTTTATAATATGCTGTCTAGGTTGGTCATAACTTTCCTTCCAAGGAGCAAGCGTCTTTTAATTTCATGGCTGCAATCACTATCTGCAGTGATTTTGAAGCCCAGAAAAATAAAGTCAGCCACTGTGCCTATTATTTAGATGATTTGCCATCATATAATACACAATGTTATATAACATATAATATTATATAGCTGCAATATGTATATATATTGCAGTTATGCAATATTTAAATACATCATGTTTATACATCTAACAGCACCCTGTGAGTTGTAAATAGCTAGGTACAAATGCAAGGTAGTAAGACTATCCCAGGAGTTCTCAAAATGAGGTTCTGCGACCACCAACCTCTGGACTGCTAGGGAACTCGTTAGAAATTCAAATTCTTTTGCCCCATCTTAACATACTAAATCAAGAATTCTGGGGGTGGGGCTCAGTAATCTGTGCTTTGATAAACCCTCCCGGTCATCTTGATGCACAGTGAAGTTTGAGAGTCACTATCATTTTGTCACAAGAGTAAAATTTCAAACAGGTGGCTTTTATTCCAGACATTTATGGAAGCAAATCCTATATGCAAGGTGCTTACCAGATGATCATTAATAGTGTATGACCTCTTCTTTCAAGAAATTTACTATGTAAAAATATGTACACAAGTGAGAAGTAAAGACCAAAAAAGCTAAAGCCTTGTTTGCAACAAACATCCCAACAGGGATATAAAAAGAAAGCATGACAGACTTCCCTGGTGTGTTGTATTCTGCTTCTTAAGAGTTGGAAGGGTGGTAAGGTTTGGGGAGGGACATGCAGCAGACAAAGGCCATATTTTAGCAGAGCCTTTTAGGGCTGACTACAATTTTGGCTGATACAGAATTTGGAGAGGTTATTCCAAGCAGAAGGAACCACACAAGAAAAGCTTGAAGACACGTAAGTGCCTCCTATCAGAGTTTAGTGACAGGGGACGAAAGGAAGCTGGTGGTGGTGGTACGGTTTAGTCACTAAATCGTGTCTGACTCTTGCGACCCCATGGACTGTAGCCCGCCAGGCTCCTCTGTCCATGGGATTCTCCAGGCAAGAATACTGGAGTGGGTTGCCATTTCCTTCTCCAGACCCAAATAAATAAGCAGGAACTTTTTTGGGACGCTCTTGGTGTTGGAACTGGGGGATGTTGTGGCTACAAACATGCCTGAGAAAAGAATAATGCCAGTGGACATATGGGGTGGGCTGGAAGGAAACCAAAGACAGAGGCCATGGCCGTCTTGAGGTGATGAGTGATGACACCTTTAAGTAGGTCAATTACAGAAGCAGGAATGGAAAGAAAAGCATTGGCGTGAAGGCTCTCCTGAAGGGAATAATTGATTACAGGACCTAAACTGCAAGAATATCAGGGTCAGCTTGAGAAAACAAAGCACATCCATAAACAGGCAAGATGAACACGGCATGTGAAAAGATATGGCAAAACGGGCCTTTTTATCAGCTGCTTCCTGTTAAAATAGTTTTGGTCTCAGCATTTTCAAGATCATAGAAAGACACTGAAAAACAACCAAAACTGGAGATTTTAAATTTTAGAAACATACCTCTGTTTTTTCAGTTGGCTTAGATTGTTTTTCTTTACACTTAGACCGGTCAAAATCTTCTGAAAGTTCATCAATGAGTTCTGATTCACTGAGGGGCTGTAATATAAGGAATATTATGTAGCGTGAAAAGAATCGTTTTCTTTTTTACTTTGATAGAAGAGAAAAGCTTCCATAGAGAAAAAGTTTTTCTAGTTAACATATTAGGTTGCATTTTAGGATCTAAAACCCAAAACTAATTTATACAGGGCATACATTTCATTTATCAATATGAGATAAATGTCATGCAACAAATAATGAATACTGAACACCCAAGTACCACAACAAATGTTAAAGGTTTATTCAGCTAAAAGTTTTCCTGATACTTCAATTTCTTCCTGATACTTCAATTTCTAAGTAATTTTGTTCAAATAAAATTGCCCATTTCCAGTGAAGAGCTGCATAGTTTTTCTTTATGTGGTTGTTTTTTATACTTCCTCTTGACTTCCGTCATAAATAAGTCAGAGGAAACATAGATCATATATTCTCTTTCTGTGAGAACGTGGGGTTTTGGCAGGAAAGTTCTGTTATCCCTAGTTCCTTCTGGTGAAGTGGTATTATTTACTGTAATTGGTCAAAATCTCCTCATGCCTTAATCTAAGACAGACAGTTTAGTTCAGTTGCTCAGTCGTGTCCAACTCTTTGTGACCCCATGAACCGCAGCACTCCAGGCCTCCCTGTCTATCACCAACTCCCAGAGTCCACCCAAACCCATGTCCGTTGAATCGGTGATGCCATCCAACCATCTCATCCTCTGTTGTCCCCTCTCCTCCTGCCCTCAATCTTTCCCAACATCAGCATCTTTTCCAATTAGTTAGCTCTTCGCATCAGGTGGCCAAAGTATTGGAGTTTCAGCTTCAACATCAGTCCTTCCAATGAACACCCAGGACCGATCTCCTTTAGGATGAACTGGTTGGATCTCCTTGCAGTCCAAGGGTCTCTCAAGAGTCTTCTCCAACACCACATGGCATGTAATTCAGAAGCTCAGCCCAGAGATGGAAAGACTGAGTTTCGAGCCCAGGCCTTGCTACTTCCAGCTATTTGACTTTGGGCTATTTACAGGATCCTTCTATGTCTCAATTAATTTCCTGTAAAATGGGGATAATAATAGTGCTTTCCTCATTCAGTGAGGACTCAAAATGATAACAGACAAACACCATTTGGTGTAGTGTCAGGCACACAGTAAGTGACTAATAGATGTAGGTGCTTAGTGTCATCATGACAGGTAACTATGCTGGTTAACACCAAATTAAGTAAAGGTAGTATAGAATCAGAGCATTTGACGATGAGATTAGGATCAAAGTAAATGCTAATGACCTAATTTGAGGGCCCTCTTGATATTGGCTCCTATATTCAATGAATGTCACCTATAAACTTGTAATAGGCAATAACTCACGAGGTAAATAATCATTAAAATGTGTGAAATGGCCAAGTGTTGCTGTCAAAAGTTCCTTTCTCCTTAATACTAGGCTGGGATACGAGTCTCCATAGTGAGATCTGGTCTATGAAAATTATCTGTTTATATCTTACAGTTCTATTGTTTTTTTTTTATGTATCAGAAAAAAACTTATTTCCTCACCTTGGGTTTTTCTTCAGGTTCTGGCAAGAGTGGTTTTCCATCTTTATCCTGTGAATGAAATTGAAGATTCATTTAAAATGAAATAATAAATTTTGCTTTCTTATCCCATTAAGTTTGTTTTTGAAATTCCAGGGTATGAGAGAAGAGACTATCTTTTGCCAATATGTTGGAGTGAGTTTGTAATTTCAAATTAATTTTTTAAATAAAGTATCAGAATAAGGAACTGAGTTATAAAAATAACGACCAAATGCTCTAAAGTACAATGCAAGTTCTTTTTTTTAAAAGTTACTGAAAAATAATTTCCATCTTTAGATAAAGAAGTAGAATTCTTTAAAAGGTTCTTTGGCAAGAAAGATGTAGCTTCATCAAAGAAAGGCTGAAAAAAAGGTTTTGATTTTCCAACCAGGGTGAAGAGGTAGATCTCATTCCTATAAAACTGTTTTGTTTGGACATTCACATTCTAGAATATTTCTTAAAATACTTTATACTTTCCATATATAAGCATTACAACTATTTCCCATCAGACGTTTATGTGTATTATTTCAAAGATAAATGACAAATATAATTACAGGGATAAGTCCAGTCTCCTCATGCCAAACCAAAACCACTTTCACTAAAGACATTGGTAAATCATTATATGTTTCTCTACCACTTACAAGGTCTATGTGCTTTTATCCATCGGCAGTTAGAGAAAATGTAAACTTATAATTATTCCTTCCACTTTAAGGTTAAGGATCTGTGTCAAGAATGGTTAATAGCAAACACTTGAATTGGTGGAAATTTTAGTGACCACACACGGTCACTACTGAGGAAACCCTCTTTTAAAGGGTCCAATTGTTCAGGACAGAAAATAAAAGTTTCAGGGTTTCCAGAGTTGCTATCTGAACTGGGACAGACGTGCCCCGAAGCCTCCTGGGACAGACAGAGCAAAGCGGGCCAGCCAGCCGCCAGCATGCAGAGGCCAACGTACCGTGGCCGGTTTTAATCTATAGTCCGACGGGACTGTTTCCTCATCTTCCCCACACTTCTTTACTTTCTCTTCCTTGGCTTTTGCCTGAAGAAAGTGGAGGGGGGAAAAAAAAAACATTTGGATCATACCAGTAAAATAAGACATCACTCTATGGACCCCATGGGTGTCGAGAAGACCAAATCAGATTAAAGGGCCTAGTGAGCAGCCAGGAGAAAGGCAGAATAGGGATACTAGAGGCAGAGGAAAAACAAGCCAGCCAGGACTCCCAGGGAGGTGTCCGTGCCCTGTCTCCATGACACTGGGAAGCCACCTAGACTTTCTTTGCCTTAGTTTCTTCAGCTGTAAAATGGGGCTACTTCTTTAAGAACCCTTACCTAGCTCTCTTGATTTGTAAAGACCAGCAGAGAAAACGAAATAAATATTCTTTGAAGGAAGTTAGGAAGAGGGTACAAGTTAGTTGCAATTATTTTACAGGATTCATCTGTCATACTCAATGAGGTACTTACCTAAGGGGGAGGAAAAAAAAAAAAACAACGCTCAGGAGTGTTAAACTCGTTCAGTGTGAAACAGATGAGAAATGGGAGCGACATCCCATCACAAATCTGGCTGATCCATGGATAACTGGTTTTACTTCTTTTCAAAGAGTTCTTTGAAGAGTCACTGGATTACTGAACCATGAGCAACCGAATGCATGGACATAAAAGTGCATTTCCACAGCACATCAGTGGCTTTCAGGATGGAACATCTGCATTGTAAGTTACTGGTGGGTAATGTGAAGTTTCATGATACATAATAATTTGTATCAGTATGAAGACATGGATTTAAACCACAAGCAAAGGAGCTACTGGGCACAAAAGCATGTGTATATATTTGTGTGTGTGTGGGGGGAGGGTTGGTATTTAGCTGATTCTAGCTCACCTTATTGCTCCCATGTACACCTCAGCCTAAGACGGTGGTTCTCCGTCAAATGCTTAGTTAGTTGATTAATTTTAAAATATTTAATGAGCACTTTTAATAAGCCAGGTACTTTTTCTAGGCTTTGGGATTATAGTTTTATTGTTCTATAGAATAATAACTGTCATTAAGGGATGAAAGGATTTTTAAAAAATATTTCCGGTTATATTCTACTTCAGGATATAGAGGAAGTCTGATTACACAGAAGTTCTCCCCAGTTCAGGGATCTGTGAGGTCTCTAGCTATAAAACAGTCCTCATGAAAGGGTCACCCATATAGGACTGTGCCCCCACTTGGGCTTGTGAACAGTGAGTCATATGCATAGCTAGATACCTTTCTATTCCTCTTTGATCTTTATATTTCTTAAATGCCTGCACTGCGGTTTGTATTCAATAGGCGATGAAAATAAACATCCCCTGAATTGACATAGTTGCAGACTAGATAACTGCACTAGAAACGGTAGTGGTTTCGTCGCTAAGTCACGTCTGACTCTTTTGCGACTCCCATGGACTATACCCCGCCAGGCTCCTCTGTCCGTGGGATTGTCCAGGCAAGAGTACTGGAGTGAGCTGCCATTCTCTTCTCCAGGGGATCTTCCAGACCCAAGGATAGAGACCTGGTTTCCTGCACTGCAAGCAGATTCTTTACCAACTGAGCTACCAGGGAAGCCCTAGAATCAGGGGAAATTAATAATGAGGTATCACCACAGAATAAATATGCCATGGTACACTATTTGTAAGAATGACAAGCAGGCATGGACCTCCTCTCTGAAGCATCACCTGGCATAGAACGTGCTGGAGTGGCCGTGGACTCCTATGCCATATCAATCTTTATGGGGTTATCATAGCAGACTAACCAAAGTAGTGAATTCACCATCAGGTACTAAAACTCAATGTAAGGATCCAGAGGATTAGAAAATCTTCATACTTTATATATAATTAAAAAGGAAAACTAGTGGAAAGAGTGAAAATGAACTGTTCTTTTTGTTCAAATTTTAGAAGTTTGCTAGTTTTCTAGAAGAAAGTTAACACATTCCCTGGTATTAAAAAGCAGAGACATTACTTTGCCAACAAAGGTCCATCTAGTCAAAGCTATGGTTTTTCCAGTAGTCATGTATGGATGTAAGAACTGGACCATAAAGAAAGCTGAGCGGCGAAGAATTGATGATTTAGAACGGTGGTATTGGAGAAGACCCTTGAGAGCCCATTCGACTGTAAGAAGATCCAACCAGTCTATCCTAAAGGAAATCAGTCCTGAATATTCATTGGAAGGACTGATGCTGAAGCTGAAACTCCAATACTTTGGCCACCTGATGTGAAGAACTGACTCATTTGAAAAGACCCTGATGCTGGGAAAGATTGAAGGTGGGAGGAGAAGGGGACGACAGAGGATGAGATTGTTGGATGGCATCACTGACTCAATGGACATGAGTTTGAGTAAACTCTGGGAGCTGGTGAGGGACAGGGAGGCCTGGTGTGCTGCAATCCATGGGGTCACAAAGAGTCGGACACGAATGAGCAACTGAACTGAACTGAACTGGTGCCTCATAGACTAAAGAATTTGTCTGCAATGTGGAAGACCTGAATTCGATCCCTGGGTTGGGAAGATCCCCTGGAGAAGGGAATGACAACCCAGTCCAGTATCCTTGCCTGGAGAAGTCCAGGGACAGAGGAACCTGGCAGGCTACAGTTCATGGGGTCGCAAAGAGTCAGACATGACGGAGTGACTAACACTTTAATTCCTCTACATCCCTAAACCTAAACAATTCAAAACTTATTTTGACATAACTTGTTTTACATCTACTCATCTGATTTTAGTCACTTTAAGAGTCTTTTCATCCTGGGATTTATGTTTATACTTTCCCTCTCCAAATTACTATCTTCTTAAACCACCCTAATCAAACAGCCCTGAGGCAGAAGTGCCCTTGGCGGGCTGCCCCGGAGCCCTTGGTGGTGGACCCCCCGGGTCCTGTCGGGACCACCCTTTCCTCGAGACGCTCTGCCTCCTCACACCCTGTTGCAATCCAAGCTCCCCTTCCCCCCAGTACATTACTTGGTCCTGGAGGACAAGGGCGGCTTCTCCCGCGCCCTTGCCTTCGCCTTCGTAAAGCCTTTCATGCCATTCAGCGCCCGGCGAGTCCTCAAAGAGGGTCCACGATAGAAGCTGGCCCATTAGGGACCGGGCGGTCCCAGACTCCGGGGGAGCTGCTGGGAGTGGCCGGGACCCACCTTCCCCCCGAGACCCGGAACAGGAAGTGACAGGGGAGGCTGCAGCATTGTGACAGCGACGGCCGCCAGCTGCCACCTGCTCTGGGAGGCGGGCGCTCCGGAGGGTCCCCCACCACTGCCTGGCCCGGGGTGCCCCCAGGAGGGCCTCCCACCACTGCCTGGCCCGGGGTGCCCCCAGGAGGGCCTCCCACCACTGCCTGGCCCGGGGTGCCCCCGAGGGTCCCCCACCACTGCCTGGCCCGGGTGCCCCCAGGAGGGCCCCCCACCACTGCCTGGCCCGGGTGCCCCCAGGAGGGCCCCCCACCACTGCCTGGCCCGGGGTGCCCCCAGGAGGGCCCCCCACCACTGCCTGGCCCGGGGTGCCCCCAGGAGGGTCCCCTACCACTGTCTGGCCCGGGGTGCCCCCAGGAGGGCCTCCCACCACTGCCTGGCCCGGGGTGCCCCCAGGAGGGCCTCCCACCACTGCCTGGCCCGGGGTGCCCCCAGGAGGGCCCTCTGCTTCCCCTCCTGTTTTCCCCCAGAGGACTCAACAATCCTTTAAAAACTGAAATTTAACGTGAAAACTCTCTTCTACCAAACATGAGCAACTCCCCAGCTCCACACTCTAAACATGCATTTGTTCTAGCTATAAAGCTTGATTTTATTCTAATTGGCGACAAGATATTTCAACACTTTTCCCCAGAGTTATATAAAGGATCTCTCACCCCCATCTGCGGCCATCTCCCCTCTTTCTTTATAAAGAGAAACACCTGGAACCCTTCTGAAAGACAGATTTCCAATTTCCATACGAGCAGACAAACCTGTTTCTCACCAGGCCACCGCCTGTACGTTATCTTGTTTAGCCAGGTGTCACTTAAGAACTGGCAAAGGAGATTAGTCGTTCATTTGAAGTATTAAAATTCTAGATGGTTTATAAGATAAACACTCAAATATCCTTCCTGGTTGCTAACTCCCCAGCAATAAAATATCTGAATTAGCCAGACCCTGGAAGTAAGGCAGAACAAAGCTCAGCTCATTTGAGATCCCTACGAAAAACAAAAGAGGTACAAAAGTTCCACACATGTGTTGGGAATTAGTTTCATAACCTTGTAAGCTGCAGACTAACAGGCTTTGCATGTGAGCCCCCAGGTCAGTACCTCATCGACCTCCTTAATTGAGCCGGGGTCAAGCTCCGGCTCTGGCTTCCGGGTGCCCAGGGAGGCTGACAGGGCCTCCAGGGCCTGCTCAGTCATGGTGTCCTGCGGAGAAGCAAAGAATTCTGTACGTTAAAAAGGAGACGCCCTCCTCAGCCGAGACAAGCCACCTACTGCTTTGTGACATTAACATTTTGTTAGTAAATCTCTTAAGAACGAACTGTGGCTTGAGGAAGGACTCTAGGTAGGCAGTTTTACTTGAAACCCAGCAGAAAAAAAGAGAAAGAAATAAGAACTTACCAGTGAGAGGAAACATGTTTGTACATTAACGGTGCTCCTGGGGGTACACTTCACCTCTCAGCAAGCGAGAGGTGCAAGTACAGTAATAATTATAAAATACTCGTGTCAATATCAAAGTACTGTTTTTCTTTTTCTGAACACAGGTCCCTTAAAATGACTCTAACAACCCATGTCCTTTAGCCAAGCAGAGCCCAGGAAGCAGGGGGCCCTGAAGTGGCTCGTGGCTGTAGGAATTCCCACTCTCAGGGGTGTGGTGCTCTCTGCTTCTCCAGATAAAAAATAAACCGGCCACTCCACGAGCCAGAGGCAGAGCAGTGCCCATAGAAAACTCCTCCCCGCAGTATCTGGGCGATCTGCAGACAGTGCAGGTCTTCTCACCCAGAGTGACTGTGGTCAAGGTGGACAGAGTAACTGCAGCAACGCTCCCCATGAGGGACACAGGAAGTCAAGCCCTTTAGAAAATCAAGTCAAAGATCTGATGTCCCCAGACAGTGGTGTCTCTGGGGTCCTGCCCTTCTGTGTAGAGTAATGGCGAGACAATCCTCTCCCAAACCAAGGCACGTGTGCCAAAATCACCCATAAGCATTTGTAGAAACAGAGAAGGCCTGCCTGACCAATATAAGCCTGACTGATTTCCCTATGCCACGCAGGCCCAAGGGCAACAAAGGTAGTCTACGGGTACAATGCACTATTAAGATTCCTGCTGTGCCCCCACCAACCACCCCCATGGTCCACCAGGGGGACCATGCTGAAGTTCAAAGAAGTAATTATTGATACCTCTTCCACTTTCCTTTTTTTCTCTTGGGGTGGAGCAGCACTGCTGATTACCCCAGCTGACTGAGCTTTTAAAGCCTCTTCTGTAGATTTCTGAAAAATAAAAGACAAAAGAAGGTTTCACTGGCAGATGAAGGAAATGGATTAACCAAACAGTAAGAACCAGAAGTAAAAAGTTGGCATCTTGGGGCTTCCCCAGTGGTCAATGGTTAAGAGGCTGCCTTGCAATGCAGGGTACATGGGTCTGATCCCTGGCCAGAGAGGATCCCACATGCCGTGGAGTAACTAAGCCCGTGAGCCACCGAGCCCTCAAGCCACGACAACTGAAGCCCGTGCACCTAGAGTCCCTGCTCTGCAACAGAGAACCCCCCTGCAGAAGCCTGCACATCACAACTAGAGAGCAGCCTTCACTTGCCCCAACTAGAGAAAGCCCCAACGCAGCAATGAAGACAGTGTGGTAGAAAATAAAGTTAAAAAAAAAAAAGTTGTTGTCTTAAAAGTGGGAGGTAGTTTCTAACAAGTTTCCCTAATTGCAATAAAAACAATACCTCCTTCTCAGTTTTCTTTCCATCAGCTGCAGGGGAACTGCAGGTGAAGTCTGATGACAAGGCATCAATGGCATCATCGGGCCCCAGGGGTTTCTAAAGAAACAGGCAGCATGACGGGTCACACATGGGAATCATTCAAGTGACAGAACAGATTACAAACCCAGCAAATGATGAATGCACTCGTGCAATTCTTTGACTACCAAAGGAGATACTTAACGAAATAACTCAGATGAAAGCCTATGCTTGGGAGGAAATTGGATGCTCAATGAATATTATTTTTCTGTTACTCTCAACATACTTATTACTATGTTAGTGGCATATTCTCATCCTATTTTTAATAATATTTATTTTGTCCTAAAACTTTCTTGCCCCATTCTTCTTTCCCTCAAAAAGAAAAGAAAAAACTAATTAGGAAATAAACAAGCACTGAAATGACCCCCATCCCTGTCCTCTTCCTCTGAATAGATGGAAACTTCATCTGATTTAGAGATCACTATAATCAAAATCCAAAAATACAGAATTGATAACTCTATTCCCCCAACCAAAGATATGAAAAATGTTAAATCTGATCTTGGAAGACATTTATGTAAACTCACCAAGGAGTCTGGAGGAGGGGCTTCGATCCCTTCTTTTTTCTGAAACAAATATTAGTTTGATGATGCTGAGAATGCAAGATTAATCCTTACAGTCAGCAAAATGCATCCCTCAGTGAATGCAATGGGTTGAACTGCATCCTCCCAAAACTCACATGCTGAAGTCCCATCCCCCAAAACCTCAGAATGGGACTCTATTTGAAGATGGGATCTTTACAGAGGTAATTATAGAGGTATTTAATTTAATTACAGAGGTAATTAAGGTGAAATGACATTAAGATGGGTCTTATTTCAATATGACCAGTGTTCCTATAAAAGGGGGAAGTGACCCAGAGATCCACAGAGAGAAAAGACGACATGCAGATATGTACACGCTGAAAGAAGACATGGAATTATTCCACATGGAGGTATCTACATGTGGAGACCAAGCAGAGCGGCCTGAAACAGAACCAACTCTGCCCACATCTTGATTCCAGTCTTCAAGCCCCCAGAATTGTGAGACAATAAGTTTCTGTTGTTTAAGCCATCCAATCTGTAATACTCTGACATGGCAGCCCCATTAAACTAATATGGTGAGCTTCAGAGTACAACAATTTCACAAGCCCGTTATTTTATCTAAGTTAAAATAACTGGATATATTAATGTGATAAGAATGATAATTCCAAAGAGAAAACAATAAGGTGTAAATACGTAACTGTTTAACTTACATTCAAAAGTTCCCTGTATTTTGGAGGCTGTGTGACTTCTCTTTTACCCAGTTCTTCTATGTAGGTAGAACTCATTGGATCCTAGGGGAAAAAAAAAGTAAGTATAGGGATATTAGCTGAGAATGTTGTATACATAGCTCTTAAACCAAAGTACTATTGCATTATTAACTTACAGAACTATTGAGATTAAGTACAAATCATTAAGAAGCCAGCATTTTATGCAACTCTGAAATTTTATGTCTCTACAGATACTTGCCCATATTTAATTGGCTTAACCCGTAAATAATGCTATAAAATATTCAAACCAATATATTAAATTTGATTCCTATATAAAATACATTTTATTTTAAAATATTTTGCATTATCTAATATTTCTACACCTACAAAAGAGCAGTTGATAACACTGAATTTCTATATAACTCAACAGATCTAGTTATTTATGTAATAAAAAAAAGTCAGAGTGACGTCTCTTTTTCAACACTCTCCAATCCAATTTTTCTTCCTTGTTCTCCAGAGATAGCCACCATCCCAAACTTTATCACATCCATCAGTATAAAGCTGAGTATATTTTAAAACAATTATTCCACATGTAGGTATCCATAAAAAATATACACCATTACCTTGCTTATTTTTAAGTGTTACATAAATGGTATCAGATCAAATTCTACATATCATTCTGCAATGTACTATTTTTTATTCAAAATTATGCTTTTGTAATAAAACCATATTGATATATGAACAAACCATTTTAACCACTATAAAGCATTCCACTTGTCATCAGCTTGTTTCCTGTTGAATGAAATCATTTCCAAATGTTTCACCTGTTCTTATAACTCCTTACACACTGGACAAGGCCCTCTCCAGGGAATCTGTCTAGACATGGAACTGCTGGTTAGAGGGTATGCATATACCCTTCATGTCACCCTTCATGTGACATCCACAGACTCCGGGCCACGTGTCAGACTTTTACACTTCTGCCAATCAGGTAAGTGTGAAGTGCTATCCCTCTGTGTTTTAGAATCACTTTCCTAATTACTAGGGAGACTTTCATGTGTCTACTGGTCAAATTTTCTCCTAATTTTATAATGGGCTTTCTTTTCTCACTTTCAAAAATTCTTCATAAACTCTAAAAACAAGTCCTTTGTTGTGTCTGTTGCAATATTTTCTTCCAATCTATGGAATGTCTTTCTTAATACCAAAGAATATATAATTGCTTTTTATGAATCAGGAATAGAGATGAACTGAGGGTAGAAAATATCTAGAAATCAGAATAAGTTCAAGTCACAGGATGGAAATATCTGGAAACCATAAGGACAGAAACCTCAAAGACAGAACATAAGTCTTTGTGACTCAACAGAGTACATCCCAGCTGTAGTCTCAGAAGAAACAAGCAATCAGTGTTTGCTGATCAACACAACTTGCATAGCTCCCTGGGACAGTTTCCAACCACAACACTCATGGTCAGTTGCTATCACTCACACTGACAGCATCCTGTTTCTCTTCAAGTGACAGAACACTGTGCATCCCTGCGTGCACCAGGACCATGACCTATTAGCCCTCCTACTCACTAGGTATGAATCTTTAGAGACATCAAGATCACATACCAAAACTTCTGGTCCAGTATATGCTGTCTTATCTTCTTTCGTCTCTTCAGGTTCTCCTAAAGTGTCTATCAAGTCATCCAGAGCAGTATCCATGTCTGACTGGAAAACAGAGCAGATATGTAAATGCTACTAGCTACACATCCTTCACTTTGACTTTTTAACTACCAAAAGAAAGTCTATGTAGAAAGATACCAAACACCAAAAGTTCTTCAACTATCAAAATGGTTAAAATCTGGTCTGTAATAGAACTTATTAAAGTCCCAGAGTTCAGACTCTAGGTTGGCAAGATAGAAAGCCACATTCAAGTAAGAATCACAATTTCAGTAAATCTAAAGGCATTAACTAGGTGAACAAGCGTATGGTTAATTACGGCTGTCAGACCACTATACCAATAGTCAAACGAAAAAAGAAAACAAAATACAAAGAATGATGATCATGTTGCTATATGAAAGAGGGGAAATGCCTGGTATTTTTTATCAATTGTTTCCACCTCTCCCAAATAAAATGTATCTCAAAAATGGATTGCCCTGTGCTCTTTTACTCATTTGTGAATTTTTGTTAACTTGCTTGTCTGAAGATGTTTACAAATAGAAATTTCCTGAAAGGGATGTTAAATTTATAAGAAGTGACAGCTTATTCTGTCCATATGGGCTTAAAATGGTAAAATGAAAGAAACAGTGCCTCCATCCTATTTTTGAGGTTAATAATGACACATTGTGGGACTTCCCCTGTAGTCCAGTGGTTAAGATTCTGGGCTTCCACTGCAGGGGGCATTATAAGGCAAGGGTTCCATTCCTGGTGGGGGAAGTTCCACATATCTCACAGTGTGGCCAAATAAATAAAACAACTTGTCACTTAAAAAAAAAAAAAAGATTCATTGTGAAGACTAAGCTGCTTTTAAAGGGAAAAATAACAAGTTGAGGAAAGACCCTTTACTATTTAATTCAGCTTAAAAATGATTGCTTTTTTTTTTTGCAACTACCATATATCTACTACAACTTCAGGAACTCACCAGACTGTGTAATAGAATCTGGGGCCTGTTAGCTTTGGGCTGATTCAATTGGAAATTTCAGAATAAAGAAATGCCTGGCATTCTTTAGATTTCTTTAAACCTCTGTTTAAAGAAAGTACATTTGCAGGAGGGAAACTGAAATGTAAACTCCTTGATATATAGCTGGAGTCTTCAGAAGAGGGTTACAATATAAAAATGTTACAAACATACATGAAAAAAATCACACTTCCAACCCAGTAACAATAGCTTCAAACAATTCATTAAAAAGGTCCTTTAAGTTACCCTCACCTCATATTGTCTGCCCTCGAGAAATCAGATCACGAGAAGCACAGAGACTCTGAATAAATACCTATGCAAAAATGCACTGTTGTCTTCATACCTTTCCAGACGGTTTACTTGGTTTGGATTCAGCTGGTACAGCTGATATTAACGATTTACTTTCTTTATTCTGGTGGGGATTGAGAAAGGGATAAAAACTCCTCAGACACGGTCATCAAGTTCAATAATATTACATACTTTAAAATGAATACATTGTAACACAAATAATACTGATCATACACTGGACATCTGCTCTGTGCCAGACACTACATGTGCTATATACTTTTCAGAACATCATAAGTAATAATAATAATATTAATCTCATTTAGTGATGTAACAAGGCTCAGAGAGGTTTAGTAGCTTCTAAGGTCACTCAGTAAAGGACAGCACTAGGATGTGAATCCAGGTCTACCAGTCTCTTCCTTCATGGCTCTTGGCTGCCTCTCCCAGGACCTGTAGCTAGTCTTTGCAACACTCATGAATTTTTTCTTATCTCAAGGCAGCCACTGTTTCTAGGTGCTGTTTTCTTGGCCTTTGTACCCACATATCAAGACCTCCACGCCCGTTGCTTTGTCATATCATCACACACTCTTTCTTTCATTTCCGTGAAATGAATGCCCTTCCCACCACTGCTTCAGTTGCTCCATCTGTAATTGCCAACAATGTTCTAACCTGCGATTTCCATGCCTTTACCCGGACGTAATCTTCCCTCCGTTCCTCTGCCAGGCACCCGTCTCCTGACTCTCACCTCTCGCAGCACCATCCTGGTTCTACGCTGCCCTCTGCCCTCTGCCCCCTCCAGCAGACCTTCTGCTTTGTCCCTCGCACGCACACTCTGCGTGTTTCTGCTGGGCCCAGGCAATCATTCTCTAGGGTCAGGGGCCAGATGCTTTCAGGGCCAGGCAGGAACTAAATGGCAAGGTCGCTGTGTTGCAGACAATGGGAAACTGTCTTATTTGAAGGTCTCTGAAATCTGCACAGCAGAGCTTGGAGGCGGAGCGTACAGCCTCAGGCGGTCTGGGTTTGCACACCAGCCCACACACACACAGACTACAAGCGGCTGCAGACAGGTCACGTCTGAACCTCTGTATCCTCGTGTGTGTGAGAACCAGCGTAGTCACTGCACCTACTGCAGAGGGTTGCGAGGGTTAAACTGATCGATCACAGTGTGAAAGCCCGTGGTTGGGCACATGCTAAGCTCTACCGAAGTACTACAGAAGCAATTGCTGTGATCATTGTATTAAGGATACTGTGGAGGCACCAGGGTGAACCCAAGGCCTGGCAACTGAATTCAGTTCCTCGGTTCATCCGCAGCCTCGCGCAGGTGTTCGCTCAGAGTCACCCTCTCCCCGCAGCCCGCTTCTCCTTCTCCATAGTCACCTGGCCTCCAAAGTGATGTTTGAATCGCCTCTCTCGGGACACCTCAGAAACTTCAATTCAGCCTGTCCAAAGGCAGGCAGCCGGTTTCCACCTCCACCAATTCCCCTCCTTCTGACCTCTGTGAACCCATCAGTGGTAACCAGGGCCGGGCTCACCACTTAAGAAGATGCTCGCCTCACGGGTGCTGACTCTGCACTGGCACAAACCTAGCAGTGATGCCTGGCTCTTTTGTCTCACCTTAGGCTTGCCAACCTAGTCCATCCAGACGCTGAGGCCCCAGGTTGTCTGAGATTTTACTGCCGCCCATCATTTGCTAAAACCTGAAGCTTGCACCTCTGCCACGTCTCCTGCATTGTTCCCCACTCACTGATTCTATCCTAGCTTTAATTCAGGCTGACTTCGGACTCCCCGGAACAGCCCCTGACCAGCCTCCTTCCTTCCAATCTCTATTCTGTCTCATCATAGCCACTGTGACCACTTAATCCTCCTGCAGCCTGGCTTTAATCCCATCGCATCGCTCCATGTGTTCTCTGATGCCCTGTGTTTACCTGCTGCCCACTGTACCGCTGCCAGGGGGATTAATGCATCTCAGCGTGCTCCGCGGCAGCGCCTCGACCCGTCTTTCTGGTCTTACAATCCCACTCACGTCTCCTGGGCTTCACCCACACTGGAATGCACTTTGCACACAGATCACACTTTTTTCTCTCTTGTTATGTTTGTAAGCCCGCAATCCCAGCTTTCCTTTCATGACTCACTCAGACCGTATCCACTCAAAGTCCTCCTGATTTGGGTTCTCCAAATCAGACAGAATCCCTGTCTCCACAAACAGCTCCCTGCGGGGGCCTGTTTCAATCTGCCTGAATGCAGCCCAGGCACGCTAGAGGGGCCAGGGATACCCAGGGGCCTCAGAGGTAAAGATACCCGCCCGCCAATGCAGGAGCTACCAGAGACTCGGGCTTGATCCCTGGGTCGGGAAGAAGCCGCGGAGGAGGAAATGGCAACCCACTCCAGTACTCCTGCCTGGAGAATCCCCATGGACAGAGGAGCCTGGTGGGCTACAGTCCACGGGGTCACAAAGAGGCGGACACGACTGAGCATGGCACATCCAGAAAAAGAGAGGCCAGCCTGCAGCTGTGTCCTGCAGAGTCAGACCACAGCCCACAGAGCTTTACACACGGTGTGGACTGAAATAGAAAACGCAGGTCTCGTCAATCTCATTTTCTAGGAGATAAATTAGAGGCAAAGAAAAGTGAAATAATTTGTCCCAAGCCCCAGCACAAGCCAATGCACAGCAGAATCCCATATAAACCTTGCCTGACTTTACTGTTTGATTTTATAGATAACCCTGGCTAAAGCATGTGTGGCATACATTTTCAAATTCTGAGTGCATTTTAAATCTATTCCAAGATAGCCAATCCTCCGCCTTCAATCTATTCACTTCTCAATCTGTGGCATCTAAGTATCTCTCATCAACACAGGAGAGTAAAGTGTACCCGTGGATGGGGTGGGGGGGTCTCAAGGTACATACAGGGGAAAACAAAACAGTTTAAAATTTGAGTGTTTTCATTTAAAGTTCATGTAAATTTTGTCATCATGCCACCTGATACCTGCATTAGTTTGGAGAAAAATAAGCGTGCCTTTTCTTTTCCAAAATCTAAGAAAAATGGATGTTTCAGGAAGATGGGCCATACTTTTGGGCCATCCTATGACTTTCCTTACCATCTAGCCTGCAGGGGGATAATAGTTCCCATTTTGAGAAGCAGGAAAATAAACATTTTTTTTTTCTTTCATTTCTATCTTATCGTTGCTTCAATTAGTTACCTGCGGCTTTAAGAGAAATAAGTACTAAAAATTCTGGGATAATATGGCTTCCAAACTGATTACTAACTCACTGCTAACTCTGTATTGCTCTGAGTGGAAACAGCAGACCATTTCTTGTCTTACATGCTCGAGCTAGTCCCTTCAAAGGATCTAGGGGAGCTGCCCATAATTTGCCAGCAGGTCACATATACTCCTGAGAGGGCTTGTGAGACCCCTTCGGAAACCTCCCCTATCAATTCATGTAGGTGCTGTGACCGCACATGATTTACTTGCTTCAAGAGGGTAGTGTTCATATGAAAAGTTGAGAGTAATGCTAATTCAAGGACTCACGCGAGTTTTATGTGCTTTTCCAAACCTATAAATCCTGCTGGCGGGGTCTGCGTCCACCTACATTTTAATTTCCTTGGTATTGACACGAGGCCTTACACATGGCAGGTGCTCGGTAACTGTGTATTGAACACAGGAGTTTTAAATTCATTTTTGGTGTCTTGCTCTCTTCTCTATTCTTTAGATGCACGCTCCTCTTCATAAAATGTCACATACGACGTGTTCAGTTTTACCGAATGACGGGTTATTTGGGTATGACAGCGCTGGAACACCGAATGGTTAAACAGAGGCTGACACGGGGAGAACGGGTCTTCGCTGAGCATGTTTCTCATAAACAGACCTGACAAGCGTCAGGGCCCATGCACACACGTGCCTTTCACGTGTGCTCACCTTGTCAGCTGGTTCGGCAGACGCTGCAGCGACACCAGCAGGAACGGCGCTCTTGCCACCACCAGGAATCTTGTCCTGTGACTTGGTCTAAAAGATCGACAGAACTAAGTTAACGCTAAATGACCATTTTCAAGATCATACATTTCAACCGTTATGTCTGAGTAACACAGAGCCTGTTTCCCCTAGTGGACATCTTGTAGAGAAATGGTCACTAGCTTCTCCTGGTCATGGTGCAAGGCGGGGCACGTAGAGCTGGTCTCCAGAGCTTACGGGGGCCGTGCGGGTAACACACACAGGTGAAGTGGGCCGGGGAGGCTCACACCAGGCTGTAAGGCCTCAGTCAAGTGTCGCCATGGGAGCCCACCGTGGCCAGCGACTCCAGTTTTTCAAGAGAAGCTAGAAACTGGCATTTTATGTGAACGATTCTGACTATAATTGTTAGCAGCTAATTAAAATTCATTTTGATTACGGTAAGCCAAATAAAATACACAAGTGGCTGCAGTCAGTGGGCCATGTGGCAATCCTGATACAAGATATACTGTTGTATCAGGATATATTGTTGTATACAAGATATATGGTCTTCCAAGAGCTCGCAATTAAAAAGTTCTTCTCATAGATAGTTATTCTTCTTATATATGACTCCTGTTAGTTCTGGAAATACAAAATACATTTCTGATTTTTTGGCTCTGTAAGTTGATGTCTCCCATAAAAGCCTCAAAACTCTAAGACCTCCAGGTAAGGAGCAGATCACACAGGGCATCTGAATTCCCACAGCCCATAAGGAGAGGGCTTCTCTTATAGCTCAGTCGGTAAATCATCTGCCTACAATGTGGGAGACCCGGGTTCAACTCCTGGGTCGGGAAGATCCTCTGAAGAAGGAAATGGCGACCCACTCCAGTATTCTGGCCTGGAGAACCCCATGGACAGAGGAGCCTGGTGGGCTACAGTCCATGGGGTCGCAAAGGTCGGACAGGACTTGGCAACTAAACCATCATGAGGAGGGGGGTGCAGAAGGCAACCCCAACTCCCAGCTTCCTCTCTGTGAGACACCAGAGCCTGCTCCCTCAAGGTCACAATTGGTCTCTGCTGGGCAGTGAGAGGGCATGATGGAACATCCCCCAGACCCGTCTGATGCCCTCCTCATGCCCCACGTAGTCCCGAGTCTCCCCAAGGCTATGTGTAACACCAGTAAAGTGATAGCACAAAATCTGGACTATACTAGATATATTTGGCACAGCTCTGAAGAGTCACCTACACACATCAGTGTAGGTGGAGGATCTGTATCTTATTCCCTAGCTGACATTAGTGTTTTCCCATCTATCCACCTGGTAAAGAATCTGCCTGCCATGCGGGAGACCTGGGTTCAAGCCCTGGGTCAGGAAGATCCCCTGGAGAAGGAAATGGCAACCCACTCCAGTACTCTTGCCTGGAAAATCCCATGGATGGAGGAGCCTGGTGGGCTACAGTCCATGGGGTCTCAAAGAGTTGGGCACGATTGAGAGACTTCACTTTCTTTCTTTCATCTGTCTGTCTGCTTCATTTACCTTTGGTTTTGTTGATTTCTCTGATGGTGGCTGCTCGCTTGGTTTGGAAACGGCTTTTTCCTTAGGAGCATGCTTGCTGCCGGTATCTGAGGAGGGCTTGGGTAGGCTTTTTGGCTGAAAACACACACACACACACCCCTCACTGGGTTAACAATATGACACATATTACTACTTTTCTCTGAGGAGTAGAAAGCAATTCATAACAGTTGTGTTTTATGTATTCAATTATGAGAATTTAAATTAGTATGATATACCTGTGACAAATTTCACTTTGGGTACAAAATTTGAAACAATGCAATTCCTTCCTCTCAAATTCAGCAAGAATCACAGGAGCAAATTGCAGTGCCTGCTGATGCCACACAGTGGTGCTATTTTAACAGAAAAACAAATAACTGCCATCTTAGGTAGGACTTAAGTGGTGAAAGACGAGAGTTCAGAATTTTATCCTTCACACAAATAAGGGAAGAAAAATAAAGGCTTCATCTTATGATATCAAGTCCTAATAATTAATGATCACTTACCTCTGTGTGTTCCTTTGGCTTTACTTCTTGGGCTTTTTTCTCGTGAACCGCAGATGGCTGTCAATTTCAAAAGATAAAATTGCAATTACATTCTAGCCCATTGTTTTTGTATTTTGCAAATAAGCTCAGAAACAAAGATCCCAATTAGACCATTCTGCCTCTCTTGGGAAAGGCCCAGTGAGAGAAGTGGATATTGACGTCTGGTTGATAATAATCCTACCAACAGTCTGATAACGATAATTATAAAAAACATCATGGAAAATGTAGTATTTCATCTGGAATGATTTTTCATATAGGTATGTATCTAAATTATAGGCTGTTTTTCACAATTCATGTAGATCATTTGGTAACTGCCAAGTCCATCAACAGAAACATCAAAAAGATCACTCTGAACACTGAGTCTGTTTATAGGAGGATCCTACTCTAGAAATTAAAATTAATTAAGAAAAAAAAACAACTCCTTTCATAGGAGATGACCACTAAATTTTTTTCAGTTAAATGATTTACATAATCTTTTCTGTGTTACAAGTAGAGAAGACAGGCAATACCAGAGACCCAATTCTCTTGAGGCTGGGTAACCAAAAACATTTAAATTCGGGATAGAAGACAACTTCCACCAGCTGCTAAATTATACTTCTATAGGTGACTATGAAATTAGCATCCTCGGGGGCCACCAAGAGGTCTTACCCAGAGTCACATAAGCTTCATCTTTTACCCAGATGACCCTGACGCCCCCACCCCTGCCTGCATTTAAAGTACTCCAGCCCAAACCACCTTTGTGCTTTCCCACAGGAAACCTTGCCATCGTATCTGAGCAACTGCTCAAGTGAGCTTGAGAGAAGTAATGCACAGCACCTTACTGAAGAGAGACACTTGGCCCACCCGCCGACATTCTGGGTCCGTCTCCACGCAGACGGGAATCGGCTTTCGGTCTAGACAGCCACACGTCGGGAAAGGGAAGCCGTTCACAAGGGCAAGTCGGAGCTGTATCCCGAGCAATTGACAACTATCCACCAACGGAGGTGAGATCACCACGGTAAACCCGGGCCTCTGAGGAGAGGCTGTCATCTTTAAGTCACCTAGGTGCTGGGTTCAAGGTGCTAGACACCTTGATTCTCCATGTCTCATAATCAATCAGATACTCATTACCCTTTATCCCTTGTCCTTTGTTCCTGTTCTTTTTTCTTTTTAATTACTTCAGCTATAACAACCTAGATTTGAACAAAATGCTTTCTGAAGTAAACTTTTTTCATTTATAAAATGTTATTCATCTTATATATATATATATATATAGTTAACATTATTATTTTATATCCACTCTATATAATCATGTTCAAAAGGGTAATCCAAAATTAGCTAGCTGACAATTTTTTTTTAACCATTCAGTAACCAATGTAGAAAATTAGTTATTCATTATTATTTCAAAGATTCCCAATAATTCTTTAGTTGACTTAAATCATTTACCTTAGATGATTGTGGCTTCTTCTCAGGCTCTGTTTTTACAGGCTAAATGCAGAAGAAAGAAAAAGAAGGGAAGGAAAAATAAACAGAGTTTATAAAGTTTATCATATATTTTCTTCAACTAAGGGAGCTAAAAGATAAGTTTTCTGTATTTATAAATATAAGTGGTGTGAGTTAAGATTATTATGCTTTTCTTGGAATTGTAACTCTGCTGTTTATGTGGCCATGTCACATGGCTTGTGGGATCCTGGTTCTCCAACCAGGGGTCAAATCTGTGTCCCCTCCAGGGGAAGCAGAGAGTCCTAACCACTGGACTGCCAGGGAATTCCCGGAATTGAAACTCTTTAGATAAATACTGAAGCACACCAATTGACAGTCTGCTCTTACGACTGAGATGGCAATCTGCATCTTACTTCTGCATGTATTACAGATATGTAGAGATTTATTACCATGAACATTGTAACTGACACATAACAAACAAACAGAAAAAACCCTCATCCCTCAAAGCCACTAACATGACTGACCTCTTTATGAGTGGGTGGAATATTCAGCACAGGTTTCAGCTGATGAGGTAAAAGAATGGGATGCTGACAGTGTTGAGAACATAAGAAGCAGTGAAGTTTATTTTTAGTGCCAGAATGTGAGTGATGGGTAACTAAACCTACTAGAAGTCTGTGATGGGCCAAAGCGTTACAGAAGATGGTGAACTGAAATTATTAGCTTGTGCTAAGCAGCTGAAGTGACCATTAGTGAACATAGGTGTCCCCTGGTACAATGAACCACATCACCTGCTTTTTGTGTCTTTTCTTGTTAGGAGAATGCGGTCCTTCCAGCTGTTTGCTGCCTGGAATAGCCTAATATAAGAGCACAGCCCCAAGTGTGACTTTATCTGACAGTCAAGTAAGCAACACAAATTAATAGAGCTAAAGGTTTTATCAAAAGTTTTCTGAAATTCTGTCTGCACAATATTACAAGGGTTTGATCAAACAGCGCATAGATTCTTTGTTGCACAATAAAAATTCAGTGATCAAATCTAAAGCTTGAGGAATGCTTCTGAAGAGCTGGTTGTGATTCAGGGTCTTTAGTGGAGTATTTGACAATTTCACCCAACCAAAAGTTACCTGTGTCAAAAGAGACAATTCCTTAAGTGCACACATCCGTTCTCCATATAGGGAGGAAATGAAAACAAGAATAAAACTTGATGAAACAGTTTATGAACTTCTCCAAAGAAGAGATTAAAAATGAAGCCTGATGTTTCCTGCTATTTCTTTCCTTTGTATGTGCTTGGTGGTATCAGCACAAACTCCTATATCTTACTATATTATCCGAAGACACTGGTGCCAAAACTCTTCTTAACTGATCAGGTCTTATGCTTCAGTAATGAAGGTACCTGTGCCTTTCACCTAACAAACCCTTTCATGCCGGCACACTTACGGTTTTGGAAAGGAAACAAAGTTCATGAACAAAGAAATGTTTTTAAAATTTAAAATTTTGCATCCTTTCAAACTGGATCCTTGTTAATGAGTTTCTATACTGGCAACACTGCTTTTTTTAGTTTATACAAATGCAATCTATTAGATGGTTAACAAGGAAAATAAGCCAGCTGGTATTGTAGTGGTTTGAGTCTATCAATAGCTTCTAATTTGTAATCTGGCACTTTGGCAATATTTTGCATGGAGGAACTCTACAATACAATTAAGAATGTATAATCACAAGAAAGAATGTATCATCACAGAATCAAGCAGCTTCTCATGAAATATACGTCTTAATCAGTGATCACTAACACATCTCTTATTTTTGGTGGCGGTGAGGCTGGTGAACATCATGACGACGACAATAATAACTGACACTTATTGACAGCCCCTCAGCACAAGGGACTGTTCTGAACTCTCTGAGTCCTCACAATGTTCCTATAAGAAAGGCATGGTGAGCATCATTATCATCACCACCACCAGCATCCCCATTTCATGACACAAAGAATCACCTTGCTGTACACCTGAGACTAACCCAACACTGCCAATCAACTACACGCTAATGTAAAATAAAACTAAGTTTAATTTAGTTTAAAATTAAGTGAGGAGGAGTTTCCCAGCATCATAGCCAGCATGGAACCAGGAATAAAAGCCAAGCCGTCGGGCTCCAGTGTGCACTCCACAGACTCTCTAAGGGATCTCCCCTGATTAACCGCGATCTGACCGTTCACCCTACACAGTGCAGTGCGACTAACAAGTGTGAGGGACAAGAGGGAGAAGTTAGACCTAGACATACTGCCTCCAGAGCTGGACTGACTTTCATCTGAAAGGTGCTGAACATGACCAAGATTTGATACAGGCTTCACCTTGCATTAACACCTTTTCTCTAAAAGCTAAAAATATTTAGAGAAATATGCTCATAAAGTGCACAAAAATCTCCATGAGGAGGCTAGTATAAATGTTATAAGCCATATATCAGAAGAATATGAAGGGAGGTGGAGGCAAGATGGTGGAGTGGGAGGACATGAGCTCTCACGAGCACACTGAAGTCACAAGTAACTGCTGAACAGCCATCAGTAAAAACAAACAACAGCAACCACAAAAGCTAAACATATATAGCAATCAAATTGGAAAAAATTAAAAACAAGGAGAAAATATTAAAAGCATCAAGGGAAAAACAACATAAGTGGGCATAGAGGGAACATAACCCAAAATAATAAAGGCCATATATGACAAGCCTACAGCTAACATCTCACTCAACAGTGAAAAGCTGAAAGCAATTCCTCTGATATGAGGAACATCACAAAGATGTCCACTCTCACCACTTTTATTAAGCATAGTTTTGGAAGTCTAAGACAAGGCAATTGGAGAAGAAAAAGAAATAAAAAGAATACAAATTGGAAAAGAAGAACTAAAAATGCCCTTGTTTGCAGGTGACATGATACTATATGTAGAAAATCCAAAAGATGCTTCCAGAAAACTACTAGAGCTCAGCAAGGAATCTGGTAAAGTTGCAGGATACAAAATTAGCACAGAGAAAACTGTTGCATTTCTATACACCAACAATAAAAGATCAGGAGAAATTAAGCAAACGATCCCATTTATTCATCACAACAAACAGAATAAAATACCTAGGAATAAACCTACTTCATGAGACAAAAGACCTATACTCCGAAAACCGTAAGACACTGATGAAAGAAACTGAAGATGACATAAACAAATGGGAAGATATACCACGTTCTTGGACCGGAAGAATCAATACTGTCAAAATGACTATACTGCCCAAGGCAATCAACAGACTCAATGCAATCTACAAAATAATGGCATTTTCCACAGACCTAGAACAAAAAATTTTAAAACCTGTATGGAGAAACAAAAGACCCCAAAGAGCCAAAGCAAGTTTGAAAAAGAAAACTGGAGCTGGAGGAATTGGGCTCCCAGACTTCAGTCTCTACAACAAAGCTACAGTCATCAAACAACTATAAAAACAGAAATACATGAAAAGAGAAGTGCAGATCAATGGAGTAGGACAGAAAGTCTGGAAATATACTCATGCACCTATGGTCAATTAATCTACAACAAAGGAGGCAAGACTATACCATGGAGAAAAGATAGTCTCCTCAAAAAGTGGTGCCAGGAAAACTGGACAACTACATGTAGAAGAATGAAGTTAGAAAATTCTATAATACCATGCACAAAATTAACTCAAAATGGGCTGAAGACACAAATACAAGACCAGATACTTATATAAAACTCTCAAAGGGAAACACAGGCAAAACACATTTTGACATAAATTACAGCGATATCTTTTTGGATCCATCTCCAAGAATAATGGGAGTAAAAACGAAAATAAACAAATGGGGCCGAATTAAAAGCTTTCTTACATTAAAAAAAGCACAAACAAAATGAAAAGACAACCTACAGAATGTGAGAAAATGTTTGCTAATGATGTGACTGACAAGGGATTAATATCCGAAGTTTACAAACAGCTCATGCAACTCAGTGTTAAAATTTAAAAAAAAAGTTAAAAAAAAAGAGAAGAAGACCTAAATAACCATTTCTGTGAAGACGACATACAAATGGGCCAAGAGGAACATCAAAAGATGCACAACATCACTAGTTATTAAGAGAAACACAAATGAAAACTAAAATGAGATATCACCTTACACCAGTCAACATGGCTGTCATCAAAAAGTCTACAAACAAGAAATGCTAGAGAAGCTGTGAGAAAGGGAACCCTCCCATACTGTTGGTGGGAATAGAAATTGGTACAGCCACCACGGAGAACAGTATGGAGGGTCCTTAGAAAACTAAACAAAGAACTACCTTAAGGCTCAGTAACCCCACTCCTGGGGATATGTCCAGAGAAAACCATCATTTAAAAGGATACATGTATTCCAATGTTCACTGAAGCACTGTTTACAACAGCCAACACATGGAAGCAACCTATATGTCTATCAACAGATGAAAAGATAAAAAGATATACATAGAGAGGAATATTACTCAGCCATTAAAAAGAATGAGATAATGCCATTTGTGGCAGCATGGACAGACCTGGAGATTACTGGGCTAAGTGAACTAATTCAGACACAGAAAGACAAATATCATGATATCTCTCACATGGGGAATCTTTAAAAAATGATACAAAAGAACTTGTTTACAAAACAGGAACAGAAAAGAAGCTTATGGTTATTAAAGGGGAAAGGTGGGGGGATAAACTGGGAGTTTGGGATTGACATATACACACTAGTATTTAAAATATACAACCAACAAGGATCTTCTGGATCGTACAGGGAACTCTACTCAATATTCTGCAATAAATGGAAAAAGCATGTACACGGGAAACTAACACTATAAATCAACTGTGGGTGTGGGTGCTCAGTCACTCAGTCGTGTCTGACTCTTTGCAACGCCATGGACTGCAGCCCACCAGGCTCGTCTGTGGGATTATCCCTCCTTATGGGATTCTCCAGGCAAGAATACTGGAGTGGGTTGCCATTTCCTCCTCCAGAGTATCTTCCTGACCTAGGGATCAAGCCTACAGCTCCTGCATTGGCAGGCAGATTCTCTATCACTGAGTCACCTGGGAAGCCTACTACAATGTAAAATAAAAACAAAAACTAATTAAAGCTTTAAAAAATTAAAGTAGCACATGAAGATAAGACGATTAATGAGAACAGTGTGACCGAAATCCGCCAAGGACAGAAAATTAAGGCCAAAAGCATTTCTGAGTCATCCACTGGTGCATCTTATTTCTGTTCCTCCCTCCCTTCCCTCTCCTGCTGTCTCTCTCTTCCCTCAGTCCACCTCTGTAGGAGTGCCAGGAATTCTCATGATTCATGCTCAGCAATGGCTGGAGCATTTGCTGACATTTACTCTGGAAAACAGGACACACTTGAAATAAGTATCGGCCCTTAAACTGAGAGTCAGCAGGGATGAATTGTAACGAGGCATTGTGTCAAATGTGAACCAAAATAATAATAAAGGAAAGGAGAAAAAAAAAGGAAATCCCATATTTCTGGCTCTCCTTTTTAATCTCCTTACTTTAATTTTCACGGACTCTAAGTTCAATGAGAATTTTTTGGGGGCGGGGGCTAAATGTTTTTTCTACAGTCTTAAGATCATTTTAAAGATCAGATTTTCTGGTACTTTTTAAGATTAAGCTTGGTATAAAGGAGCAGTGACACCTAACAGGTGGTTAATCACAAATCAGATAACATGTATTTTGAAAAAAATTAAGAAGTTAACTACTAAATAAAAACATAACTTTACATTTAAAAATAAAAATGAGTGCTAAGTGACATTGATTAAGGGCTTAGAGTTTGACAGTGTGTTTCAGGATATTTGCAATCTCCTTTAAATACAGTTCAAGATGATGCCACAGGATTACTAAACAGTACTAAATTATTATTAACAGGATTAAATTACAGCATAGGATCCTACTTGGGACAGTAAAGTAACAAGGAAAACACAAGGGAAATGTTGGTAATTTTAAACAAGGGAAATTTGATAATAATGGAGCTGGGGGAGCTCTTAAAAAGACATTGAAGAATATTAGCTCATGAGAAATAGTTGAGAGCATCTTGAAAAATGCTTCCTCTTTAATCTTCCATCCTAGAACATTCCCGAGAAACTCAGTTTGAGTCATGGTAAGTAGGTGACAGGGTTGAAGCCGCTCAGCCAACTCTTTAGAAATAGGCTTATTATTTTATGGAGCAATCCAACTGTAGGTCATTCTTTTATTTTTAATTCTGAAATTCCAAGAAATTACCAGAATACCCCAAGAACTCAACAACAGTTTATCAGTAAGATGGTGACCCACAAGACTCAAATGTCAGAAAAAAACTTCAGAAAGCGCCTGAAATAACCAGAATCTGTGTCACTTCTTTCTATGTTCATCTAGTGTAGACTTTCTCATTCTTGGATTTAGTTTTAAATGATTAGGATAATAAAACCATTTCAGTAAGAAATTAAGAATTTATATTTCTGTCTAGATTCTGAGAAATGTACTTAGAGAAATTATCTTACAATTTAAAAAAACTCAAGTCTAGGACCAAAAGAACTCTCACTGACTATACTTTTCTAGATATTCTGAAATGATGTGTAAGTATATGGATGGTGTTTGATGCAAATATTGAAAGGAAAGCTGAGTTTTCCAAGACCCTTAATAGGAAGAAAATGTTTACTTCCATAACGTAAGTTTCCTAGGACACACAACCTATCTGTCAAAGTCTCTATTCATTTTGCTTTACAAATGGAAGGGCGTTCACCCAAGTTGACCCTTGAAGATGCTCCACACCTTGGCTTCTGTGGGATTCATACTGGAAGACTTGCTGGCGGAGGCAGAGGAAGCAGCCACCTAGAAAGAAAACAAACAGGAGTTTGATTCTAGTTAACCTACAACCTGCTTTGTCCTCCAGCTCCTTTTAACTGTAGTAGTGTAGTAGTGTTAGTCACTCAACCGTGTCCGACTCTATGCAACCTCATGAACTGTAGCTTGCCAGGCTTCTCTGTCCATGTAATTCTCCAGGCAAGAATACTGGAATAAGTTGCCATTCCCTTCTCCGGAGGATCCTCCCAACCCAGGGATGGAACGCGGGTCTCTTGCATTGCAGGCAGATTCTTTACCGAATGAGTCATAGTGGAAGTCCCTTTAACCATATTTACTTTTAACTCTTTACCTTGGTTTTACCTCACCTAGAGTCTCACTCCCATAAAAGTTCAGTATGTGGTGTTGTCCAGTGGGTAAAAGCCTTTGCAATCACTCCAAATGGGTTCAAATTCGGGGTGTGCTACTTACTAAATAACCTTGGTCAAGCTACTTAAACTGTCTGATCTTTAGTTTCCCCTTAATTTTTCTTCCATAGGAAATAAAGACCTTCTAAGTTTATTGCCACCTAGTAATTAAGTGCTCAATAACCTCAGACATGCAGATGACACCATCCTTATGGCAGAAAGTGAAGAGGAACTAAAGAGCCTCTTGATGAAGGCAAAAGAGGAGAGTGAAAAAGTTGCCTTAAAACTCAACATTCAGAAAATTAAGATCAAGGCATCCAGTTCCATCACTTCATGGCAAATAGTTGGGGAAACAATGGGAACAGTGACAGACTATTTTCTTGGGCTCCCAAATCACTGCAGATGGTGATTGCAGCCATGAAATTGAAAGACACTTGCTCCTTGGAAGAAAAGCTATGACAAACCTAGACAGCATATTAAAGAGCAGAGACATTACGTTGCTGACAAAGGTCCATCTAATCACAGCTATGGTTTTTCCAGTAGTTATGTATGGATGTGACAGTTGGACCAGAAAGAAGGCTGAGCGCCAAAGAATTGATGCTTTTGAACTGTGGTGTTGAAGAAGACTCTTGAGAGTCCCTTGGACTGCAAGGAGATCCAACCAGTCCATCCTAAAGGAAATCAGTCCTGAATATTAATTGGAAGAACTGATGCTAAAACTGAAGCTCCAATCCTTTGGCCACCTGGTGCAAAGAGCCGACTCACTGGAAAAGACCCTGATGCTGGGAAAGATTGAAGGTGGGAGGAGAAGGGGAAGACAGAAGATGAGATGGTTGGATGGCATTATTGACTCAATGGACATGAGTTTGAGTAAGCTCCTGGAGTTGGTGATGGACAGGGAAGCCTGGCGTGCTACAGTCCATGGGGTCGCAAAGAGTCGGACATGACTGAGTGACTGAACAACAACAAAATATCATTCTAATTTCTGTTTGTATTATTTTCAGAAAGAACACAGATTTACACAGAATTTTGTTCAAATGTCAGCTTTCCCCATTACTAGCTCTGTGATTTTGGGTCTTAACTTTTCCAAATATATAAAATGGGGCCTATAGTACCTATTTTGCAGGGTTGCATGTATTTGAGGTAATGTGGGTAAAATGCCTGGCACTGTAGGTGCTCAGAAAATTGCTGGTGCCTTATTCCTAAGGTATTATACAAGACAGAACAGTAGGCACAGCTCTGGGAAACAGACTCAGGTAGATCAGAACTGGAGGGCAAAACAGACTCCTCCCTGGAGGGCAAAAGTGATAAATGGTAATTGAAGTATTCAAGAAACCCCGTTCCTAGTGGTGTGGTGTCAGTCCCTGCAATCTAATCACATAAGCAGGGCAACATGCATGGTACTGAGAACTATGTACTCTAGTACTTAACTTGTATTACCTTGGCTAATATTAAACCCACAATCACCATCTTTGAGAATTCCAACTCAGGCTCATGCAAAGCTCCTTAACATGTGAGTCCACTGGGTTTTAGAGTCCAGGGGTTCCATCTGGCACAGCTGCCTTCTGGAGTAACTGGTTGTCTTTCTACCAACCAGTTCTCTATCAACAGCACCCGGAGCCCCGGGCCTGAGGGCTGGCCTGGAGCCATGTCCAAGGCTGAGTCCCCAGGCAGGACGCGCCCAAGCCTACTGGTCCCCAGCTCCCCTAGCTCGGACACACCACTCTGAAGGTGACTGCGTGAACCCCCGGTAACCCACGGCGTGTGAACACGATCACTTCTCATACTGACCTCACTTCATGTCGGACAGCATGGTGCTTACAGTTAAACTGCCACAATTGACAGATCAAAGCCCAAAGCTTTATTGTACTGATTTTTCAAACACAGTTATATAAACTTAATTATTCCTGAGCACCCTTAGGCACCAATTGGGCACCCCCACTCCAAAGCACATGCATACATGTGCGCGCGCGTGCGCACACACGCACACACACACACACACACACACAGATATACCTGGTCACAGTGGCAGGCACGCACTGCATCTCTTCCCTTCCCTTCAGGATAACGAACTGAAGGATGTATCAAAGCAGATTTTCCCCCATCAAACTAGCAAATAAATATGTGAATATTTAGTTTTCCATGAGAACTTTTTCTAATATATGGGAATTAACACATCCTTTTGGCTTCCCCAGAGGCTCAGTTGGTAAAGAATCCGCCTGCCAATGCGGAAGACGAGGGTTTGATCCCTGGGTCAGGAAGATCCCCTGGAAAAGGAAATGGCTACTCACTCCAGTATTCTTTCCTGGAGAATCCCATGGACAGAGAGGCCTGGTGGGCTACAGTCCATGGGGTTGCAAAGAGTTGGACATGACTGAGCAACTAACAGTTTCACTTTCACTATCTATACATTAATGACCTTCCACAGGTAGAGTTGGTTGTACAAATTTCTATTCAAACTCAAGCTCCACTTAACTATGTCCCACTCCTTTGATGATTTCCCTCAGCCATCTAAAACCACCCAAGGTGAGGGTGGGATGTTTCAAGAGAACAGCATCGAAACATGTACATTATCTAGGGTGAAACAGATCACCAGCCCAGGTTGGATGCATGAGACAAGTGCTCAGGCCTGGTGCACTGGGAAGACCCAGAGGGATCGGGTGGAGAGGGAGGTGGGAGGGGGGACCGGGATGGGGAATACATGTAAATCCATGGCTAATTCATTTCAATGTATGACAAAAACCACTGCAATGTTGTAAAGTAATTAGCCTCCAACTAATAAAAATAAATGGAAGAAAAAAAATAAAACCACCCAAGACCAAACATTCCACACGGAAGCACTTTTTAAGCTGCAGATCTTTGGGTGGACAGTCACTTATTATAAACATCCAAATTTATTAAAACATTCTTGCAATTATATAGCCTTGGGTTTTCTAGTCTGCCTTACTGCTTTATTAAGGAATAGCTGGAAGGGATCCTTAAATCCTAGAAAGGAGAAGACCTTCAAAGGCTCACCAAGAACAGTAAAATCTCCGTGGAATGCCGATAAATAAGCATGGAGCAGATTGTAATGGGAACTGAACTGCAGCCTTGGCTGCACCTGTTTTCAGCATAGATTCCTCCCTAAGAGTTTTATCCCACCCCTAGGGCATTAAATATTTTGAAACTAAAAGAGGAAAACCAATTCACGGGGGCTGGAAATGAAAATAATCCCACCCTGTTAAGGGCTGGTTCAACTCTGGCTAACTGTGGTGTGTTTAACTTTTATTCTATTTGTAAGACAAGAAACGTTTACTATCTGTTACCTCTACTGAGGGATTATATACACTTTCAATTTAAATCCTCCATATGGTTTGAATTTCTGATCATAGGTGTGAATAACTTAAAATTCAAAAATTTTGAAGAGTTAATCCATAATTCTTTGAAGAACCTTAGAGGAAAACTTTAAATATGGAGGTTTTAAACAAATGAGGAAAATGGGATCTCATAATGATTAAGTAACAGTTCACTGGCTCAATAAACATTTATTCAGAACATAGTTTGTGTTAAGTGTGTGTGAAATGATGGGAAACTGTCAGACATGTCCCTGACCTTGTGAAAGTTACAGCCTGGTCAGAGATGATACTAATAGAACAACTTCAATCCCACTTCTGGGTATGCATCTGGATTAAATTATAATTCAAAAAGAAACATGAGCCCCTGTGTTCACAGCAGCACCATTTACAACAGGCAGACATGGAAACAACATATACACCCCATATCTTCTCTATCCATTCTTTTCAATGGACATTTAGGCTGTCTCCATGTAGATGTATATATACATATATAGAGAGAATGGAATATTACTTGGCCACAAAAAAGAATGAAATAATGATATTTGCAGCAACATCGATGGACCCAGAGATTACCATACTAAGTGAAGTAAGTCAGAAAGAGAAAGACGAACACTGTACGATACCACTTATATGTGGAATCTAAAATATGGCACAAAGGAACGCATCAGTGAAACAGAAACAGACTCACATAGAGAACACTCCTGTGGCCACCTAGAGGGACAGGGGTGGGGACCATCTGATGCAAACTACTATATACAGAACGCATAAACCACAAGGTCCTTCTCTGGTGGCTCAGACCGTAAAGAATCTGCCTGCGATGCGGGAGACCCAGGTTAGATCCCTGGGTCAAGAAGATCCTCTGGAGAAGGAAATGGTAACCCACTCGAGTATTCTTGCCTGGAGAATTCTACAGACAGACTAGCCTTATAGACTACATGGGTTTGCAAAGAGTCGGACACCACAGAGCAACTAACACTTTTCTGTATAGCACAGGTAACTATATTCAACATCCTGTTATAAACCATAATGGAAAAGAATATGTATTGCTGTTGTTATTCAGTCGTTCAGTCATGTCTGGCTCTTTGCGACCCCAAGAACTACAGCACGCCAGGCTTCCCTGTCCTTCACTAACTCCCAGAGCTTGCTCAAACTCATGTCCATTGAGTCAATGATGCCATCCAACCATCTCATCCATCTCATCCTCTGTCGTACCCTCCTCCTCTTGCCCTCCATCTTTCCCAGAATCAAGGTCTTTTCCAATGAGTCAGTTCTTCGCATCAGGTGGCCA